TAAGACCATACCAATGTACAGTATCCATGTTGTGCATTTTGTATTCATACTGTTCTTAAGTGTTCAGTTGTTAAAGTTACTAAATCAACTGATGTATTTGGATCAGACAAAATCCTTTAAAGTCTTGCTTGGGTTTAGAAAAGGCTTTTCTTAAGAGGTGAATGGTCTAATGTATCTCTCTGTAATCTTACAACATGTGAGACACTACAAAATAGGAGAAAGGTTGGATGGAATATTTTGATAAATGGTCTGGCATCTGTAGTAGCTCTGTGAAACCACTTGTAAATTTTTGTAATAGGCTAAGTTATAGCAGATACAACGGGTTGGACTCTGGATATATAAAGATAAACAAGATATAGTTCAGTTTTCTATGACATCACACCCGTGAAAGTGGGAAGAAGAGATATAAATAGTGATACTTCTATTTTTGTACTGACTTAGTAAGTTGAATCATGTGTCAATTACTATGAAGTTCTGTTATAAGATGAATCACTCTGGTAGGAGTATGATGATATAATACTTTAGTTTATTCGTGGAGGAAGAGTATTTCCCAGGAGAAAAATTTTGGTAAAGGGCATTCCAGCTAGAGACAGCAGAATGGATAAAGCCTTGAAGGAGGCAAATAGGATAGTTAGGGAAGAGTAAACCCTTCGGTGTACTTACAGCCATGGCTACACAGAAGTGGGGAATGCTGGTGAAGATGGGGATGAGGGAGTGAAGTGAGTTGAGGCTAGAAAGCGATGTAGCAAATGTAACTATTATTCCAGAACCCAACTGTGCAAGAATCATAACTTTTATTTTGTATAACAGAATTTCCATTTTGAGTCCCTCTTCAGTAAATGTGGCAGAAACCCAATCTCAGTTATTTTGGGGTAGCCCTCACCTTTCCCAGGAGTGTGTCTTGGAGGCCAACATAGTTTCAGATGAGTGATAAGGTCAAGTCTTGTTTAGCGTCATCTACACAGGCATCCCATCAAGCTCTCTTATCCTCCTCTCTTAGAAACTTTGATGTCATTCTGTTTCTTCAATATCTCTCTAGGTCCAAGGAGACTCTTGGAAGCTGTTCTAAAGCCATCCCTTCAACTCACTACACATTTCCTTTCCTAAGGTCTTGCTCTAGGGTCTGCTTTGGTAGCAGGGCATCTTTTTCCTGGACACTCTAGTGCCTATGCAGTTATCAATTCTCAACTACTTATTTTCTTCTCAGCGTGTGGAAAATATTTTTTCGGTCTAAAAGGGTGGAGCTTAATCTCATGAAATTTAAACAAAATGTTCTGTCATGCTCAGCTTCTTTCATCTGCAACCCTCAAAGGCTTAGTCTTTGGGAACATAAAAGCCAAGAAGAAACCTACAGAATATATATATTTTAATGCAGCAGCAGCCCTCTCTGAAGATGGTGACTGCATAGTGCTCTAGCTACTGCATAGTGCTCTAGCTACTGAAATTAGGAGATAGGTGTGGGGATAAGGAAAATATCTGGTAAATCATTGTTGATACTGTAAACATACTTTCTTTCATGAGCATATTGTGGCAAGATTGCAAAGGAACTAACGTGATGTATCATGGATCTTGAGCTTTGTCCTTTATTCAGTGGACTGTCATTGATGGAAGCACTATGATGATATTTTTGTTTTCAAATATAAAATCTGACAGCAATATGAAGACCTAACTGGGGTAGAAAGACTAGTTAGGAGGCTTTTGTTACATTAGAGGTAAGAAATGATGGGGACTCGAACCAGAGCATTAACTGTGAAGAGAGAGAGGAATTGAATAGCTTTAGATAGATTTGGAAGTCATTGAAGCTGTGGAAGTGGCTGAGGTCAGTCTGGAGCCTGCATAGAGTTCTGGGAAACACCAGTGTGTAGGGAAGAGGGTCAGTGCTGAGACTAAGGGAGAAGCATCAGAGTGGTAGAAGTAGAAGAAGCAGGATAATGAGGTCCTACATACTGGTGTTAACCTTCAATGATAGTCCACTGCATAAAGGTTTTATAAAGGGGAGTTCCCTTGCACATGCCCTCTTGACTGCCACCATGTAAGACATGTCTTTGCTCCTCCTTCACCTTCTGCCATGATTGTGAGGCCTCCCCAGCCACGTGGAACTGTGAGTCCATTAAACCTCTTTTTCTTTATAAATTACCCAGTCTCAGGTATGTTTTTATTAGCAGCGTAATAACAGACTAATACAGTTACATAGGTAAACTTGTGTCATGGGGTTTTTTTTGTGCAGATTATTTCATCACCCAAGTATTAAGCACTAGTACTCACTAGTTATTTTTCTTGATTCTCTCCCTCCTCTAACCCTCCACACTCTGAAAGACTCTGGTGTGCATCATTTCCCTCTGTGTGTCCATGTGTTCTCATCATCTCCCGCTTGTAAATGAGAACATGCAGTATTTGGTTTTCTCTTCCTGTGTTAGTTTGCTAAGGATAATGGCCTCCAGCTCCATCCATGTCCTGGCAAAGGACTTGATCTCACTGTTTTTTTATTGCTGCATAGTATTCCATGGCATCTGTGTATCACCTTTTCTTTATCCAGTCTGTCATTGATTGGCATTTAGGTTTATTCCATGACTTTGGTATTGTGAATAGTGCTACACTGAACTTATGCATGCGTGTGTCTTTATAATAGAATGATTTATATTTCTTTGCTGTATACTCAATTTTTTTTTATTGGTATGTGTTGACGGGTGAAGCACATATAAAAGGAACTTGGTGCTAGACTTGCGTTCTATGTATTTTGATGGCTGAAACTATAGGTATGGTATAATTAAACATATAAAGGAGGCAATTTTGACCTTGAACAAAATTTTTTACTTTTTGAGCTATGTAGAAATGAATGTAGACTTAAGAAGCCATCATTGGTGAAGATCATTTGTTAAAATTCTCTCGGTTTCTTATCTTGAGAATTGAGAAAACTGGTAGTAGCAATGAGTAGAAAACAGATATTTAGTTAGACCTGAAAACTGGTCTTGATTTGGTAGTGACATACTGGCAACAATTAATATTATCTAGAAACATTTCCTGGCTAAATAGAGGAGACAAACAATCTATAATGTAAGGTTTCCCAAGATTGATTTAGAGAAAAATCCTCACCTGAATATTCAATATCCTATTTCATTTTTGAAATTGTGGAGCAGAAGAAATCTTACAATTGATCGAAATAAAAATTCAATCTGAATAAGTTTATTGTTGTACTGACATAAGACAGAGCAGTCAGGAATCCCTCTTGAATGTTTTGCTATGCCTCCATGTCTTTTTGTTTCTTCCTTACTTTCTGTCTTACTCTTTAGTGGAGTTTTCTCTAGGGTTCTGTGCTTGGCCTGCTGTTTTCTCCTTATCTGCCAGCCTGTCCTTACGGGTAAGGAGAGATGGATTTTTTTAAAAAAATTTCCTGAATTTAGCTATGGCCTCTAGCTCATGAATCCTAAATCTTTAGATCTGAACTCTCTCTAAAACTGGAAAGTTATAGTCTAAATACTTATTGGACATCTTCAATTGAATGTGCTAGGAACTGCAAAACAAAAATGTTCAAGACTGAACTAATAATCTCTCCTCTGACCAGAGCAGCTCTTTTTGCTGACTTCTCATTTCCCACCATGACACTAGCATTCTGCAAATGCTGAGGCTTGACGTTTTGATCATTTTTAATATTTTTACTCTCTCTACTTTTATTCTGTCAGTCCTATAACTTCTTCCTCTATAAATCTTGTAAGTACTTGCTTTCTTTCCTCTTCTCATTTAGACTATCTTTCCCTACATGGTTAGACAAGCTGAAGTCCCTTCATCTCTCCAAATTCCAGTTAATCATGTGCATTGCTGGTGGCTAAACTCTCGTAGAATATACTTATAATTATATACTATTTTGCTCAAAACTGTCGAATGACTGCCGTTCTGTTTTTCTTGCACCATACCTGCGGGACCCAGATTCTCTTTCCAGCTACATAACCACCTCCTTCTGTCCACACAACACACTCCAGTCAAAAACAGGCTAACCCATTCTTCAAACTTGCCATTGACTTTTGTTCATATTGTTCACTTTGCTAGAAATACTTTCTCCCCTCTTTCCCATACCTGTCGAAATCAGACTCATCTGAAACAGGCCCTTTTGTTTTAATGTAACTTTTTGCAGTCTTGATTGTGACAATTTATCCTATAAAATATTTACTCTTTGCACATTTATAGCATATGTGTATAAATATGTTTAACACAGCATTGCTTGTAACTGTAAAATACTGAAAACAACTGAAATAGTTGTAACTTTGAAAAAATAGTTACACACATACATATACTGATAGGAAAAAATTTGGTCACTGAATGTAAACTATGACTACATTGTTAAAAAATAAGTGTGTGTATACATGCATACATAAAAGAAAATCTAAAAATGTACACACCAAAATGTTGAACAGTGCTTGTGTATCTGTGTGTGTGTGTGTGTGTGTGTGTGTGTGTGTGTGTGTGTGTGTGTTAGAGGTAAAGTTATGAAATACTTTTATAATGTACTTTTGGTCCAAAAATGTTAGCATTTGCTAATATTGAGTGATAAGCACATTATACCATTCTTTGTATTTGGTCTTTTTAAATAAGAATAAAACTGGAAAAATGCAGTATTAGATTTTACATATGTACCTTAGTGCCAAGTATGCATTGACATTTATCAGGACAAGAGATTTTTCTTTTATGGAATCTTGGAGTGATATTCCAAAAAATATTTTAATTCAAGGACACTGATATTTCTGCTGACAGACTACCTCTTACCAAATGCGGGTTTCTTCTTGCAAATAAACATCACTGAATTTACTGTATATGTAGTTGCATACATCCAGCAGAGAAGTAGTTGAATGAATGCCATAGTGCTTATACGCAATTAAAACTCAGTCAGTTCGACCTATTTTTGTGTAAATCACTAAGTGAAATGAGTTTGATTCATTTTTATATGCTTATTTTTAATGGAGGCTAAAGAGACATAAATGGTTTATGTTTGTTTTGTGGTGGTCTAGGTTATCTCAATATTACAGGGGCCTTCGAGAATCTGGAGGAACATATGACCAGGTAATTGGACATTCTCCTTACTATTGTTAAGCTTTTCTGTATTCATCAAGTTATAGCAATGTTTAAAATTTTACATTATTATCATACTTTTTTTTTTTCTTTTTGAGACAGAGTCTCACTCTGTCACCCAGGTTGGAGTGCTGTGGCACGATCTCAGCTCACTGCAACTTCTGCCTCCCGGGTTCAAGTGATTCTTCCACCTCAGTCTTCCGAATAGCTGGAATTATAGACCTGCGCCACCACATCTGGCTAATTTTTGTATTTTTAATAGAGATGGGGTTTTCACCATGTTGGTCAGGCTAGTCTCGAACTCCTGACCTCAAGTGATCCACCTGGCTTGGCCTCCCAAAGTGCTGGGATTACAGATGTGAGCCACTGTGCCTGGCCTCATCATAGAAATTTTGAGGAGAAAAATACAATTGTTAGGTTTTTTAGGAGGAGGATACAATGTAGATCTTTTTTTAAAGAAAAGAATTGGCTGCATAAGGTATACTAAAGTTAGGGTTAAGCTTAAAATAGACATATATGCATTGATCAACATAGAATATATTAATATGTAGGGAAATTAGAGGAGTTTAAGGTAGACTTTTAAAATGCAGTTGAATTAAGAATCATTATTTTTTATATATTATATATATGTGTCTGTATATGTATGTGTGTATATATATGCCAGGTGTGGTGTCACATACTTGTAGTCCCAGGTACTTGAAAGGCTGATTGAGAGGATCACTTGAGCCCAGGAGTTCAAAGCTACAGTGAGCTATGATCACATCACTGCACTCCAGCTTGGTGAAAAGAGTGAGACCCTGTCCCCTCACCCCCCAAAGAGAGAGAGAGAGAAAGAGAGAGAGAGCATCATTATTTTCAATGGCTTATAATTATTAATTTGTTTCCTGGATGTTTTCAGACATGACATGATGATAATGAGAGAGGCCAAAAGGAATTTTTTAAACTCAGCATATGATTCTGAACAATGAAATAAAACATCCCAGAATAAATATAGTTGCTTTATTTTTAATTTACACTGGGGAATCTTTTGGTTAATGATTTACATATCTTGAAGTTTATTCCTCAGAACAGCTTATAACAGAGGTCCAAAGGTACATGTAGGTGAATCAGAAGTAATGATTCTACATTATGGTATAAATGATCTGGTACATTTGAAAAAAATGGAGACACCTTTTTTTCTTTCTTTTTTCTTTTTTTATCGAGACAGAGTCTCTGACCCCCAGGCTGGAGTGCACTGGTGTGATCTCGGCTCATTGCAACCTTTGTCTCACAGGTTCAGGTGATTCTTGTGCCTCAACTTCCCAAGTGGCTGAGATTACAGGTGTGTGCCACCACACCTGGCTAATTTTGTATTTTTAGTAAAGATAGGGTTTGGCCACGTTGCCCAGGCTGGCCTTGAACTCCTGACCTCAGTTGATCTGCCCACCTCAGCCTCCCAAAGTGCTGGGATTACAGGTGTAAGCCACGGTGCCCTGCTGAAAATAGAGACACTTGATCATATTTTGAAAGTTGAGGAACAAATACCTCCAAATATTCCTGTGGAGAGGCATTGTTTTTAACATTGGGGAAAATGAAACACAGTGTCTTTTAATTATCATGTATGTGCTTAAATATAAATACATTTTGAGTAAACATACACTGATAGTTTAAAATACATTAACTTATTCTCAAAGCATGAGTTCTACTTGTGATATGGGGTTTCTTTTAGCTATCTCTTGCTATATCATGAGCACTTAGATAGTAATTAGTGATTGCGTTATCTATTAACTAAAACTTAGTGTTCTAATTACATCTTCCTTGATAAATGCATTGTAAATTATAAGGTAGAGTTTGATGGGCGGAGTACTGAGTTGTGAACAGCAATGTCAGAGACTGTCTTCATGTTACGTAGTCATCTTTATAGCTTCTGCATGGTTCATACATACAGTTTAATTTGAAGATGGAAAGTAGTGAGATTTAAAAAGTGGGAATATTGGAATACTGTATTTCGTTTTAGAATGTTTGCCTTTAACCTAAATATGAATTGTTTAGCAAAGCCCAAGAATTGTTTGCTTTTTTAGATATGAAAACTCAGAACAAGGAAACATTAATTCAGCATTTCTAGACTGATCAAGGGTCTGGTTTTAAGACAATACTCGTGTTTTTTAATGCTAGAATTTAAATTGGAAGGGCCATTATTTGATTTGTTAAGCATTTTAGGATAACTCATGATGGCCAGTTGGGCAAATGATACAAAACTACTTTTTAAATTTTTCGGTTGTCTTTTGGCATCTAGACTCTGTTAGATTAATAGCCCAAGGAATAATCCCTAGCCTAAAAGGCCAAGGGATTATTTCCATTTATTGATCCCACTTTCTGACAAGTTCTGTCACTTCTTTTCATCCCCCAATGTGCAGAGACTGGCCCAATGCGCCTATCAACTGATGCTGATGTGATGAAAGTAGACAGTATTACAGTGGTGGGTCTTACCTGATGCTGTGATTCCCCAAAATACCACACAGTCTTCACAGTAACTGGCATTCTCTGAGTGCTTACTATGTGCTGGGCACTGGTCCAAGTATATTTCATACATGAGTATTTTAATCTCCATTTTACAAATTAGAAGACTGAGGCTTAGAAAAGTTAAGTAGCTTGCCTAAGACTATACAGCAGTGAAGTGAGTAGCTGGGACTTGAGCCAAAGCAGAAACCATTCTTAACCATTCCACTGTATTGGTACAAACACAGCTGGATTGTGACTATCAACTCTGCTTGTTACAACCCCTTCTTACTTGTTAAGGATGGTGAGATACCCAGATAAGTGAAAAAACAGGAATGAATGGTCCCTTTGGAAAAGGTACATTGATTAGGAAATAGCATGTGCAGGGTTCTTGTTGTTTTTCAGGTATGCCTATTATTACAGTGGAATTGGTGCTGGAGTGCTGGTTGCTGCTTACGTTCAGGTTTCATTTTGGTGCCTGGCAGCTGGAAGACAAATATACAAAATAAGAAAACAGTTTTTTCATGCTATAATGCAACAGGAGATGGGCTGGTTTGATGTGCATGATGTTGGGGAGCTTAACACCCGGCTTACAGAGTAAGTATTTAGTTTTATGTTGAACTTGGATATGGTTCTTATTCTTAGTAAAATGAAATAAGATGTCATCACATCTGTTAGGAGATGTTAGTGTACCACTCAAAGGTACTTATCAGACAAAATTCCTTCTAAACAGCAACTGTGTCGTGTGTATCCTTTTGTTCCTAGTACCTTGACAGGGCATGAGGGGACCTGCATGACTAGCGTTGAATGAAGGATTGAACTTTGCCAGAATGAAAAAAATTCTCTGAGAGTGTGCAGTAGAGCAAAACAAGATACTTTCTGGGGAAATTTCTGAGCAATAAATCAAAGCATAAAAGGCCCTACACTCAAAACAGGCTTCAGGAAAAAAGTTGTTGTTTACAATTCTGACATTTATTTCTAATATTATCTGTTCCTTTAGTGATGTCTCCAAGATTAATGAAGGAATTGGTGACAAAATTGGAATGTTCTTTCAGTCAATAGCAACGTTTTTCACTGGGTTTATAATAGGATTTACACGTGGTTGGAAGCTAACTCTTGTGATTTTGGCCATCAGTCCTGTTCTTGGACTGTCAGCTGCTGTCTGGGCAAAGGTAGGTGAAGCCTGTTAATCCAGATTTTGAACTGCATCTTCTTCCTTTCTGCTCTCATCCTGTGGAAGGGTCTTTTTACTACATAATGACTTTGATTCTATACTTTTTTTTTTTTGAGACGGAGTTTTCGCTCTTGTTACCCAGGCTGGAGTGCAATGGCGCGATCTCGGCTCACCGCAACCTCCGCCTCCTGGGTTCAGGCAATTCTCCTGCCTCAGCCTCCTGAGTAGCTGGGATTACAGGCACGCGCCACCATGCCCAGCTAATTTTTTGTATTTTTGTAGAGACGGGGTTTCACCATGTTGACCAGGATGGTCTCGATCTCTCGACCTCATGATCCACCCGCCTCGGCCTCCCAAAGTGCTGGGATTACAGGCTTGAGCCGCCGCGCCCGGCGATTCTATACTTTTTACTTTTACATTTTCTGTTCAAAATCAGCTGGATGAGCAATCCAGTCTCACTGAGTACTACCCCTGCCAAGACTCCATGCTGCTCTTGGCCTTGTGATTATTTGGGGAAGGGATGAGAAAGAAGGGAATAGCTCTCATGTCTATCTTCTGCCTTTATGAGAAACCAACCAACCAACTAACCAAACAAAAACAAAACAAACAATAAAAACCTTGCTAAGTTTCAAAGAACCGTGCTCTGTAGTGGATGATCCCCCATTCACACTGCAGGTAGAGACTCAAGTTCCGTGAACAACACGTGTCCCCATTCAATTAACTTTTTTTTTTTTTTTTTTACTTTTAATGTTTTTGGTTTTCTAGATTTTTGTTTAATTTTTAAATTGATTTTGCAGTTTTGTCAGCATTTATACATAGTTAATTTTTAGTTATAAAATAATTTAAGAAAATAGATACTTTCTAGTCTTAAAGGATGCATATAAATTCTTAGCCTTCAGCTCTGTCTCCTATCATGAAGGCAGAGAAGTGACCCTCTCTATCTCAGCACAGATGCTTCCAGTGATCTTTTAAAACTTATTTTCTGTTTCAAGGTGGACATGGTGTTAATTTTAAACTGATTTTATATGAGTGTATTTTCAGTAGAGAAATTAGCCCAGTGTGTAATTTTTGTGTAGTTCAATACAACTTAGAGAAGGCAATATAAATTCATGTAGCAAAAGTTATGAATGGACAACCAAAGCCAAGTGTCACACAAAATACGTCAGGCTGTAAGTATTAAGAAACTTTAGATTTTAACTTGTATAATGGATATTATTCTGTAAATAATAATGGTTTACTGAGCATTTATTGTCAGCCAAACACCTGTGTTATCTTTCTGAAGTATAGGTGTATTATATCATTTTACAGAGAAAGAAACTGAAGTTCTGCTGTCTCTGTTAATTTTTTGCTCAGAGTAACATAGAGTTGAAATGATGTTTCTGGGGATTACTAGTTAACTAAAATATTTGGCAAAAGCTTCTTGTCAATTGATTTTTCTACATATTAGAATGTTAAGCAAGTTGGGTGGCAAACTCTTCACATCAGAATTTGTTGAAAAACTACTTAACATGTATTGATGTCTGTTTTAAGATTAAAAACAGACCATGAGTTAATCTTTTAATGATTAATTATGCATTGCTTCAGATGCTATTTATTTAGTAAAAAGAACCCCAGGCTGGCTGCTAGAGACTTAAGCTTTAATCTCTGCTCAGCATTATACTTTTGGTATGATTTCAAACAAATTTCTTAAATTCTTTGGATGTCAGTCATATTAAAAAAGAAATGTAGTTCACTCTGGGAAGCTGCTTTGTGTCTGTGAGCCTGAGGCTCTACCCTCAAACCTAGAGAAACAGTAGCAAAGAGACATAGCAGAAAAGGACCCAGTCACAGCAAGTGACCTGGCCCAGGAAGCCTCTTTTGTACTTTGTGCCCAAGACTACCTTCCCAGTGCCCAGAGACACTGGGGCAGCCAGAGGGCATTGATATAGGAAACTATGACACTTTTCCCACACCTGGTAGTCTGATCTTGAAAAACCACTTTCATTCCCTCAAGCAGCAGATCAGGGGCCAGTGGGAGCTCTAGAAGCTTCACATAAATCAAGCTGACCTAAATAATGCTACAAAGACTCTGAATATTAAACCATTCCTGGAACCACAGCTCACAAAAGTAGGCCAATGCTAACGTACTAAACTTAAACAGAGCAACTACCTGCTAAAATAAGGCAGATTAATTTTATTTTAACTTTTTAAAACTTTTAAGTTCAGGGGTACAAGTGCAGGTTGGTTACATAGGAAACTTGTATCATGGAGGTTTGTTGTATAGATTATTTCATTACCCAGGTATTAAGCCTAGTACCCATTAGCTATTTTTATTTACCATCTCCCTCCTCCCACTCTCTACCCTCTAATAGGCCCCAGTGTGTGTTATTCCCCTCTCTGTTCCCATGTGTTCTCATCATTTAGCTTCCATTTATAAGTAAGAACATGCCATATTTGGTTTTTTGTTCCTGAGTTAGTTTGCTAAGGACAGTGTCCTCCAACTTCGTCAGTGTTCCTGCAGAGGACATGATCTCATTCTTTTTTATGGCTGCATAGAATTCCATGGTGCCTATGTACCACTTTTTTTTGTTTTTATCCAGTCTATCATTGATGGGCATATAGGTTGATTTCATCCTTGTCATGTGCCAGTTTTAAAGGGGAATGCTTCCAGCTTTTGCCCATTCAGTATAATTTTAGCTGTGAGTTGGTCTTAGATGGCTTTTATTATTTTGAGGTATGTTCTGTTAATACCTTCTTTATTGAGAGTTTTAATCATGAGTGATGTTGCATTTTATTGAAAGCCTTTTTGCATCCATTGAGATAAGCATGTGCATTTTGTCTTTAGTTTCTGTTTATGTGATGAATCACATTTATTGATTTGCATCTGTCGAACCAACCTTGCATCCTGAGGATAAACCCTACTTGATCATGGTGGATAAGCTTTTTGATGTGCTGCTGAATTCAGTTTGCCAGGATTTTGTTGAGGATATTTGTATCAATGTTCATTAAGGATATGGATCCAAAGTTTTGTTGTTGTTTTTCTATCTTCCAGGTTTTGGTATCAGGATTATGCTGGCCTTATAGAATGAGTCAGGGAGGAGTTCCTTCTCCTCAATTTTTTGGAACAATTTTAGTAGGAATGGTATCAGCTTTTCTTTTTACATGTGGTAGAATTCAGCTGTGAATTCATCTGGTCCTGGGCTTTTTTTGGGGGGTGGTAAGCTCTTTATTACTACCTCAATTTTAGAGCTCTTTATTGGTCTGTCCAGGGATTCTATTTCTTCCTGGTGCAGTCATGGGAGAATGTATGTGTCCAGTAATTTATCCATGTATTCGAGATTTTCTAGTTTATGTGCATAGAGGCATTCGTAATATAAACTAATAGTTAGTGGTCTATTTTATTAATTTTTTCAAAAAACCAGCTCTTGGATTTGTTGATCTTTTGAATGATTTTTCTTGTCTCAGTCTCCTTTGGTTCAGCTCTGATTTTAGTTATTTCTTGTCTTCTGCTAGCCTTGGGATTTGTTTGCTCTTGGTTCTCTAGTTCTTTTAGTTGTGATATTGTTATTAAGGAGGTTTTTCTAACATTTTGATGTGGGCATTTGGTGCTATAAATTTACCTCTTAACACTGCAGTAAGGCAGATTTAAATAGGAAACAGAATCTCTTAACATAATAGTCAGAATGTCCAGGTTACAACAGAAAGTTGCCTGTCATACCAAGAATTAAGAAAATCACAACTCGAATGAGGAAAATAAACACACAAACAAACAAGCCAACAACAATTACCTGACATTGACACTGAGATAATTCAGGTGCTGGAATTATCTGACAATGATTTTTAAACAGCCATCATAAATATTCCCTGCTAATCAAATATAAATTCTTTTGAAACAAGAGAAAAAATCAGCGATATAATAGAATTTATTAAAAGAACAATGAAATTAGAGAACAGACATATACAACAACAGAAAAAAGAGTCAATCTAGATGGAATTAACCTAAGCAGTTGAAGATGGCAGGATAGAATCAGTGAATCTGGAGCTTAGAACAATGTAACTCACCCATTCTGAAACAAAATAAAAAAAAAGAACTCCATGGACCTGTGAGACAATAACCAAAAATCCAACATTTGTGTCATTACAGTACCAAAAGTAGAGGAAAAAGAGAGTGGAGCTGAAGAATATTTGAAGGAATAATAACTGTAACTTTCCCATGTATGATAAAAGGCAACACTTCAGATCCAAGAAGCTGAGCTAATCTCAAATAGGATAAACCAAATAAATCCATACCAATTAACATTATAATTAAACTATTAGAAACTAAAGACAAAGATAAACTTTTGAAATCATCCAGAGAAAAACAATGCATTTTTATAGGGTAATATAATATCTGTTTGGATGACAACGTACTTCTCGTCCGAAGCCACAAAAGCCATAAGTGACACAATATTAAGTGCTCAAAAAAACACTGCCACCTGTGAATATACATCTAGTGAGACTAACCTTCAGGAATCAGAAGGAAGTAAAAACAGTCTCACATCAAAGAAAACTAAAAAAAGATTTTCACTAGCATGCCTACTGTTAAAGATTGGCTAAATAATTTTTTTTCTAACAGAAAAGGAATGATAAAAGAAGAAATATTGAAGCATCAGGAAAGGGAAGGGAACAATAGAAAGCAGAAATACTGGCATATACAATAGACTTTCCTTTGCCCCATGAGATTCATAAATCATATTTGATGATTTAACCACAAATTATACATGGTAAAATGTTGATACCAATAGACAGTTGTAAGTCACATATGAATATTGCAGTACTCAGATAAGCCATTATAAAACTCCTGCGAAAACATATATTGAAAAATATTGTAAACAAAGGAAGATTGAATCCTAAAATTTGATAGGTAACCTGCAGGAAGGCAGGAAAAGAGACACAGAGGATGGAAACCAGAGGAAACAAATAGAAAACAAATAATGAAATAATATATTCAGTGCTAACATATCGTTAACTACCTTAAACATAAATAGTTTAGATGTACCAATCAAAAGAAAAATTGGCAGTGTGTTAAAGAAAATGACTAAATTATATGCTGCTTACAATAATATTCAAATTCAACAACAGAGGTAGAATAGAAGTTAAAGTATGGAAAAAGACCACACAATTTTTTACAAGGAGTGACTATATTAATATTCAGCAATGTAGACTTCAAAACAAAAAAAAAATTTCTAGAGAAAAGAAAAATGTCGTATAATGATTAAAAGAACAATCCACCAAGAAGACAAAATGACCCAAATGTGTATATATACACCTAATAACATAGCCTCAAGTAGACATAAAATAAAAACTGAGAGTTTTTATTTCTTTATTGTAATTTTATTCAACCGAGAGTTGAAGAGAGAAATAGAAAAATCAACCATTATAGTTGGAGACTTCAACAGCCTCCTTCAGCAATTGATGGAACAACTGAACTGAAAACCATCTAGAATATGAAAGATCAGAATAACACAGTCAACCAACAGGATCTAATTGGCATTTATAGCACATTCTACCCAACACCATCAGGATACACATTAATCTTTTTTGTTGTTGTTAAATATCCATGAAATATTAATTAAGATAGAGCATATCATGAGCCATAAAACAAACCTCAATACATTTTAAATAATTGATCTCATAAAGTCTGTTTTTTCTAAGTGTCATCAAACAAGAAACCAAAATTGGAAAGATAAGGAAATCTCTCAAGACAGGACTTAACACAATATACTTCTAAATAACCCATGGAGTCTTAAAGGAAATGAAAAATACATAGAAAACATATTAAATATTTGGGTGTAGCTGAAGAAGTGCTAAGAGAGAAATTTATAGTATTAATATTTATATTTTAGAAATGAGGAAAAATCCCAAATCAATAACCTAAGTTCCTACACCAACAAAGTAGAAAATAACCTATTGGGAAGTTGGGTCTTCATTTGAAGACTCCCATATATAGACATTAAATAAATTTGTTTACCTTTTCTCCTGTTCATCAATTGACCTCATGCCAATAATTCAGTGGTGGTTACAGCGACTCTTCTCTCCTAACAGTCTTAATAAAAGAGAGCCCAGAATCCCTATCTGTTGGCAAAAGGGCTAAGAGCTGACCCCAAGACTACATTGTTACACTCTACTTTTAAAAATTAAATAAATAGGCTGGGGGACAAGATGGCTGAGTAGACACAACCAGGAAACACCTCTCCCACTGAGAGAAACTAAAATATCAAGTAAACCATCATGCTTCAAACATCTTTTAAGAGAAAACACTGAAAGTTGATAGAGAACCAACACAGACACTGAGCCTGAAGAGAGATGTAGCTGGGATGCTTGCATGGAGTCTCTGAGTACAAGGACCAGCTCCTAGCCCTGAACTGGTCCTCAGGAAGTGGTGAGTGAAGAAACTGCAGGGTTCCACACTTCTCTTGCAGCCAGATGATTGGGTTGTTAGGTGTTCTCTGTCAGAGTCTCTGGCAAAGACTGGTTAGCAAATGAGCTACACCCTTCTCAGACCAATCTTGTGGAGGGAGGCATTTCCAGCTCCCATGCTCACATGTGAACCCACACCTCATTCTTCTCAGTGTTCTGAGAGTTGGTGCTCCTCCCTCACTCAAGTTTAGGCCACAGTTCTCAGCTCAATAACCCTGAGCTGTGTACTTGAATTGTGGGGGTTGGGACCAGGCTTGTGACTTTGTCCTCTGTCCCCTCAGGATTGAGCACTGGGACAAAACTAGGTTGTCAGGTCTGCTACAGGGAAGACACCAGGAGACCCAGTTGGGAAAATACAAGCTGAGCAGTTCTCATCGCTGTTGAGTGTAAAATGGTACAGCCACTCTGGAAAAAAGTTTTTCAGTTTCTTGTAAAACTGAGCATGTAATTGCCATACAATCCAGCAACTGTACTTGTGGGCATTTATCCAAGAGAAAAAGGTTATGCTTCCATAAAAGCCTGTATACAAAAGTTTATATAGCAGCCTTATTCATAATAACCCCAAATTGGAAGCAGTTCAGATCTCTTTCAACTGGTAAATAAATGGGTAAAGAAACTAGTTGTTCCATACAGTGGAGTACTAACCAACAATGAAAAGGAAAGTGTTACTGATACATGCAGCTGTCTCGATAAATCAGTAGAGAATTATGCTGTGTGGGAAAAAACCAATCCCAAAAGGTTCTATACCACATGATTCCATTTATATGACATTCTTGAGATGACAGAATTATAAAGATGACAACAAATTAGTGGTTGCTAGAAATTAAGAGTGATGGAGAACAGGAGGAGAAGCAAGGGGTAGGGATAGGGGCAGCTGTGGTTATAAAAGGTAGCCTGAGGGATCCTTCTGACCGAATTGTTCTGCATTGTAACTGTGACATACACCATCATGTCCAGCTAGTTTTAAATTTTTTTGTAGAGATGGGGTCTCCACGTGTTGCTCAGTCTGGTCTTGAACTCTTGGCCTCAAGTATTCCTCCTGCTTGGCATCCCAAAGTGCTGGGACTATAGGTGTGAGTCATCTTGCCTAGCCTTTTCATATCCTTGAGAATAGGATAGGTTAGAGGGTCTTTTTTTTTTTTTTTTTTTTTTCCCACAGATATGATCTCTTGAAAAACACCACACTTAATGAAGGTTCAACCATATTTTTGTCTGCTTGTAATGATGGAAGGTCATAGGAAGAAAAGGGAGCTAGATTTGTTGAATTCATTGTGGTACTCGATATATTAACAATCAAAAATAATGTTTTTAAAAACTCCTAACTTTAAAGTATTTCTTTAAAGTATCACTTTAAAGTGAACTTCCTGTTTTTGGTTGCCTCTGTTGTGGGCAATTGTGGCACGATGAGGTTTCAGAAGGAGCAGAAAAACATTCCCAAAGCATGTTGTGTGAACCTCCTCTATTCCACAGATCTGTTTGTTCAGGGATGGTGCTGGCCACCCTGTCTCAGACCTCCTGCTGTGAATGGTTCTCCTCATATTTGGGGGCAGCCACAGGAAGACTGCTTTGAGAAGTCAGGAAGGTCTAGTGAATCAATGTGGGTATTAAAGAGACTGGGTACGTGCAGCACAGTGTCTGCATTTAGAACATAATTAATCAATGTTCATTTGCCTTCATCCACTCATTCCTCTAGCTGCCTTTTTTTTTTTTTTTTTTTTTTTTTTTTTTGGAGACAGAGTCTTGCTCTGTCTCCAGGCTGGAGTGCAGTGGTACGATCCTGGCTCACTGCAACTTCCGTTTTCCAGTTTCAAGCAAATCTCCTGCCTCAGCCTCCCGAGTAGCTGGGACTACAGGCACATACCACCACGCCGGGCTAATTTATTGTTCTTTTAACAGAGACGGGGTTTCACCATGTTGGCCAGGATGGTCTTGATCTCTTGACCTTGTGATCTGCCTGCCTGGGCCTCCCAGAGTGCTGGGATTACAGACGTGAATCACCATGCCCAGCCTCCTCTAGCTGTCATAGCTCCTTTTACTTTCACACATAGGAAAGGGAGAAATCCAGTGTTAAAACCCAAATAATCTTGAGCTTTGTATGCCAGGAAGGAATAGACCAATGTTACTTACGTAATTGAGTCCACAAATGCCTGTGAATTGTTTATTGAAAGAATATAATTCTATTTAATCAGAATTTTTAAAATAAATTGATGATGTGTAATTTTAGGGGAGGGATGGGGAGGGATGGGGAGGACAGGATCTTGCTCTGTTGACCAGGATGGAGTGCAGTGGTACAATCACTACTCACTGCAGGCTTGACATCCTAGGCTCAAACTATCTTCCCACCTCAGTCAGCCTCTGAGACAATAGGCATGTGCCATGACACCTAGCTAATTTTTAAAGTTTTTTGTAGAGGCGGGGTCTTGTCATGTTGCCCAGGCTGGTCTAGAATTCCTGGGCTCAAGCAATTTTTCCTGTTTGGCCTCATAAAATGTTGGGATTACAGGTGTGAGCCACCATACCTGGTCTGTCATGTATAATCTTTATTTAGATAGTTGACCACTTCATTCTAGGTACAGTAACCTTAGTCCTTTGCCCATTGCAATTGATCTAACTTTCATAATAGGGCCCTTTGGGACCCAAGTTCATGCATCAGTGGCTGGTTTTAGGGAGAGGTTTACTCCAGTGGCTGTTAATTCAGGCTATGAAGCCTTATGACTCAGGCTTGAATCCTGGATATTTTACTTAGAAAATTATTTAACTTTCTATGCCTCCATTTCCTCATATGTAAAGTGGGAAAATAGCCACTTCACTATGAAGAATTAATGAACTTCTGTGTATGTAAAGTATCCAGTACTGTTCCATCCACAGAATAAATGGTGAGGAACCAAACAGAAGGCTCAAAGAGCATCCACAAAATGAAGACCTCCTTTGGTGGCTCAATGTCTTGCTTTGCCCAAGAGCACCAACAGAGGAAACTATTTGGCATGTGAGACATTCTTGAAGTCATGTTACCATATGGACTTGGTCCTCTGAATTCTTCTGGCCTCCCACCTTGACACTTCTGAACTAGAGTACCATTAGCACTTGACGTGTCGAGCACACACCGTATTTCTTTTACATAAGGCCTGTTTTCTATATTTGTTTATAATTATAATGTAGTATAGACTTTCTTTTCGAAATTTATCATCTTCTAAAAGTTCTAGTTATATTTCTTTAAATGAGGATCTATGAGGTTTTCAATGGGAAAATAACATTTTCAATTAATCTATTATGTACTATCTCAGTCCAAAAAGCATTTGGAGTGGCTTACAAAGTGAATATAGATACTAATAAAATAGAATATGATGAGCAAAGGCAAATGACACACAGATTTTGTTCTACATATACATTAATGTATAAGCAGCCCCTATGTATATATTTATTTTTACTTTACAAAAGATAAAATTAATGTTAAAATTTTTTCATGATCCAAAATTGTATTTTTAAACAGATATTATCTTCATTTACTGATAAAGAACTCTTAGCATATGCAAAAGCTGGAGCAGTAGCTGAAGAGGTCTTGGCGGCAATTAGGACTGTGATTGCATTTGGAGGACAAAAGAAAGAACTTGAAAGGTTTGAGTTTCTTAATTCTGTCTTCTCATAGGCCCTTCAGATTGACAGTGTTAATTATAAGCATTTTCTCCCATATATATGTTTTCTTAAATAGCTTAATGGATATATTACAGCATAACTAATATTTTGGAGAAGTTGCAATTCTAATTGTACTTTTATCTGCTAATTCAAAGAGTTTTCTAGATGGGCAATAACATAAAAATAGTTTCCTAAGGCTGAAATGTATTTTATATCTCTATTGTATTTTTTCCCTCTATAAATTATTGATTTTCTAAGGTTGACTGAGTATTTTGTGTAAGATCTATGGGGACATTTTAATATGTGGTTCATTTTCCCTTCTACCCAGGCCCCAACTTAATTGACATATGCTACATGATTTGGAAGATGAAAATATAGCAAAAAAGCACATTTGTACAAAAGTTCAAAATCTTTTATATTATGTGTTTAGTGTTATGCTTGCAACTGTCCCTTTTATTAGATTTCTGAGAGCATGGATCAGGCGTCCCCAAACTACGGCCCACGGGCCGCATGCGACCCCCCTGAGGCCATTTATCCAGCCCCCACCGCACTTCAGGAAGGGGCACCTCTTTCATTGGTTGTCAGTGAGAAGAGCACAGTATGTGGTGGCCCTCCAATGGTCTGAGGGACAGTGAACTGGCCCCCTGTGTAAAAAGTTTGGGGACACCTGGCGTAGATAGTAATTTATTGAAATTTATCATATAAATCAGATTACTGATTTCTAAGCAGCAGTAGATTTTACTTAAAATTGAATATAAACTATAATATTCTGATGCTATAACATTTCAATGTTATGAATATATATATATATATTTGAAAGTAGTAAACTGTATTGGTTAAAGGGGTTATACATTGTATGGTACGGCCATAAAGAAAACAGAGGGAATTTTCAGAAGTCAGAATAGTGGTTAGCTCTGGGAAAGATGAGTAGTTGTATAATGAGAACCGAACACGTGGCAGGGGATTCTGTGGTTCTGGCAGTGCTCTGTTTTCTTGACCTCAGGTGTACTTATATGAGTATTCACTCTGTAATTTTTTTTCACTGTGCATATATGTTTGGAGTACTCTTGTTCATATAGTATATTCACAAATATAAAGATATGTCCTCTGAGAATAATTTGTGATGGCTAAGTGCCATAGTTCAAAGGAAAGCAGTATCTGTGTTACATTTTGATTTTTGCTAAGGTCTTTGCTTTTGCTTTAAAATATGTCTGAGTAATAAAATGAGGAGTCCTGCTTAATGACTGAGCAAATATTCAATGAAGTAAAGCTCTGGCTCTTATGGAGCTTAAATTCTAATGGGGTTGGGTAAGGTTATAGACAACCACAAATAAGCAAAGAGGGAATATGCCAGTTGGGGTAAATATTATTTAGGGAAATAAAATAAGAGAATCATGAAGATACTATTTAGATAGGTTATTCAGAAAAATATTTTTCTGATTAGTTGATATTTGAGCAGAGACATAATGAAGTTTTGAGTTTGGAATTCTTTTTCAGTTTTCCTCAGAGGAAAAGTGGACCAGAAAAATAATATGCCCAACAGCGTTGGAAGACCAACCAAACTTAGCTTCTGCCTGGTTTCACAGGTGGGGAAAAACATCTCCCAATAGAAGTTAGATTCTCAGACCTGACTGCTATCTGCAGTTGAGATCTGAATTTATACCACTCTGTGGACTAGAAAATGATCTCTCTCCAAAACTGAGGATTTTACATTAACAATGAGTTCTAGTCCAGTGATACCAGAGTATCTTGTAGAAGAAATGAAAAATTGTTGAAAATTGAAGAACTAAACATCTAAATCAAGAAGTTAGAGAAAGAACAATAAAATATTAGAAGGAAATAATAAGGGTAAAAGCAAAAATTAATAGAAAATAAAAGCAAAAGAGTGGAAGCTTGACAACTCCATAAATAATTCTTTAAAAAGATGGATAAATAACTAAATATTTTATATGTTTAATCAGGAACCAAAAAAATGAATCAGGAAACAGATTATTTATAAATTACAGCTTTATACCAATAAATTTTCAAACCCTGCTGATACAGACAATATGCTAGAAAAATGTAGGTAAAATCCTTACTTAAGAAGAAAACCTGAGTAAACCAATAACCATTAAAAGGATTAAATTCAAAGTTAAAAGTCTCCATTTTCCACTGCTTCTCCCGACCCAAGCAGAAATTGTAAGTCTAGATAATTTTGTAGGGAAGTTCTACCACAACTTCAAGAAAGAGATAGCTCTATCTTACATAAATTGTTGTAGAAAATGGAAAAAAAAAAGGTATGAGTTCATTTTATGGGGCTAGTATAACTTTGATACTACAACCAGGCAGGTATAATATGAGAAAGGAAAACTAAAGGACAGCTTCACCTAAAACATAGATGCACAAATTATAAATAAATAAATAATTTGCTAAATGAAATCATGAAAAATAACAGATGGAAATCATCTTGAACATGTTGGCTTTATCCTACGAATGCAAAGATGGTTTTAACATTAGGAAATCTGTTGATATAATTAACCATATTAACAGATTAAAATAAAAAAATTTGTTTTGATGTAAGGGGAAAAGTATTAATTATATACAGTTCATGACAAAAAACTCTTAAAACTAGGAATAAAAAACAAACTTCTAAATATTAGAGACCCACAGGAAACATTTAGTGGTGAAACATTAAAAAAAATTTTAACACTTTTTAATAAATACATAAATAAATAAATACAATTTTGTCTGTCAATTTAAAAAATAAAAAACAAATAATGAATGAGGCAAGTATGTCTGCTAGTATCATTTCTGAGTAGTTTTGCACTAGTGCTAGATAATAAGACTAAGAAAACGAGTAAGAATGAAAAAAGAAAACAAAAAAGAAATAAAGGCAATAAGGATTGGAAAATAGGAAGAAAACTGTCATTATTCACAGACAGTATGATTATCTTCACAGAAATTTCAATAGGCTTTATAAGCTAACAATATACAATGATATCTCTGGATAGCTATCATTACTCAGAATAAATGGCATTCCTTTAAACCAGGAATGAACAAATAGAAAATATATAGTTTTTCATCAATTCTGAATGAATTCATCATCTCTGAAATTGAAATAAACCTACCAGTCTGTGCCATCTTACAATTGCTATGAATCTGGATTGAAGTCCAGTACTTTCAGGCAGGATTTATGTTTGCTTCTGCTATTCACCATGGGTACTCTGCTAACCTGAGACCATCTTACATTAAATTCTGTGTCTAGTGGGTTTTGGACCACAGTGGTAGTGTAAATTCATACTCAGACCTTTATGAGTCCTGCTTTGTGGCCCAGATTCTCAGGAAGGTTGTTTTTTCCTTCCTTCACCTGGTTGGTGTCAAGATTGAGACGTGAGTTCTGCTGTGTGTTGCTTAATATACTGAGGTACAGCCCTTTGGGTCCTAGCTGCATATGTAAATTCCTATTAAACTCCTTTCTTAATGCTTTATAAAATAACAGAATAACAGTACTTGTTACAATTAAATTCATCGTAAGTTTGAGGAACTGACAATATTTTTAAGGACATGATTAGCAACAAAATCTATAATGATGGATGGAGTAAAACCCGAGAAGAAGGAAATGGACATTATGGGAGTGAAACCCAACATTTATAACTTAGATAAATCCAATCATTTTAGTTCACTGAAAGTTTAAAGGAATTTAGATTTGATGGAGATTGCTTTAATAAGTTAGACATGAAAATATTTTTCCTAGAGAAAATGGTGATCAACTTTTAATTATAAGAATAAACAAATGGATGTACATAGTTATATCCAAAGATTTCTATATTTGCTCTAAGAAGTATTTTATATATGGAATCATTTCTTCAGAAAATATGAATTACTTGAATGTATCTTTGAAAAGACAGTCTCCCTTGGAGAACTGTAATTAGTTTTGCTTGGAGATCAAGAGTTGACATAGGACTACAAACTGATGGCCTATTGTTCTTCCCAGGTTGGCCATTTCTTAAAAGTTTATTCATTCAACAAATGTATTCAGCACCTACAACATGCCAGGCACTGTGCTAGGTTATAGGTTTTCTTTTTCTTTTCTTGTTTTGTTTTATAAAGGTTTAAACAAAGCTAGGGCTCTACGTTTTCAGCTGTGAATTAGAAATAGAGGATATTGTATGATCTCCAGTCAAAATAGTAAGATGGATAAAAATGGAAGGAAGGGAGAAAGGCGCAAAGAAATATAAGGAATTATCAAAGAAATAAATAAAAATATTGATTTAAAAATGTGTTTATTATGGCACTGTTCACAATAACAGAGACTTGGAACCAAGGCAAATGCCCATTAATGATAGACTAGATAAAGAAAATGTGGCACATATACACCATGGAGTACTATGCAGTCATAAAAAAGGATGAGTTCATGTTCTTTGCAGGGACATAAATGAAGTTGTAAACTGAAGGTTTACATTCTCATTCTCAGCAAACTAACACAATAACAGAAAACCAAATACCACATGTTCTCACTTGTCAGTGGGAGTTGAACAATGAGAACACATGGACACAGGGAGGGGAACATCACACACTGGGGCCTGTCTGGGGTTGGGGGGCTGGGGAAGGGATAGCATTAGGAGAAATACCTAATGTAGATGATGGGTTGATGGGTGCAGCAAACTACCATGGCACCTGTATACCTATGTAACAAACGTGCACGTTCTGCACATGTACCCCAGAACTTAAAGTATGATAATAAAAAAAATTGCTCTGAAAGAATCAAGGAATGTAATGATGATGATGAGGAGGGCACGTTAACTTTAAATACGGTGGTTGGAGCAGGCCTCTTTGAGGAGGTTTCATCTCAGCTGAGACCTGAGGGATGAGAAAAACCATGCCATGCAGGGAGAAGGATAGGGTGGGTTGGAAGAAGAGTGTTCCAGATTTCCTGGGGTGGCTAAGACTTTTATATGTTCTAGGAAACATCATAAGGCTTATGTGACTGAAGCTCAGTTGAGTGAGGGGAGATTGGAGTGGGCAGGGGCCAGAATATAGGGATGGTGAGCCATGGTAAAGAGTTAGGATTGTATTCCAAGGACATAGGAGAGTGGTTGAGGGTGTTAAACAGAGGAATAAGGATCCACGTTATGTTTTCATATTGTTTCTCTGCCTCTAATGGGTCTCATGAATGGATGTGAAAAGTCAAAGGGTAGAAGCAGGGAGACCAGTGGGGTGGCTGGCAGAGTGTTCCAGGCCACAGGATCTCCCTGATCTAGAGCAGAGGCAGGAGAGGGGTGACAGGTACCTAGATTTGGGATATAACTCGAAAGTAGAATTGATGACTATTCTTATGCCAAACATAATCAGTTTTCTTTCCAGTTCTTCTCCTTCACTTCTCTGCTTCTATATAAAGTATTAGGGGTCTTAATCTGACTTTCTTTTCAAATTAGCAGTACAGCGGGCAAGATGGCTCTCTTTGAATGGAAATTTAACCAGAAGTTAAAATGAATTTCATTCAGTCATGTAGAATAGTTTTGTTCTATTTAATTTAAAGATATTTTTATCCCTTTTATGTATCTTGAAAATATATTTATCAAAGAAAAATAAAAATAAAGAAAAAACAACAACAAAAAAAGAAAATATATTTATCTATAGTATTTATTTCTGTTTGCTTAACCAGAATTGTTCCTTGCTCTAAGTGGTTACTTGCATTATTATTAAATATTTTCATAATATGTAAGAAGGATCATATTTCCTACATACTGATGGTTTTGTTATGTAACTTTAGTCTATTTTAGCCACTCCTGGTTTCATGATCATTTCTATAGCAAACCTTTTGAGGAATGGATGATTTTAATATCAGTTTTGTATATGACATTTGTATTGAAAAACAACAAAGATCTTATGGAGAAGAAGTATTGTTTATGTCTCACTTCCCTTTACCCCCTTCTTTCCTTTATTTCTCCTTTCTGATGTTGAAATGATTTTCTTCCTTGTGCTTCTGTGCAAATGTTTCCTCTGGCTGCGTAGGACATCATCATACTGGTTTCTACGTTAGTCTCGGTAAGCGAGAACTGAAATAAAGGAGATAGCAGAGTATAGAACATATGCATTAAATTTCCTTAAATGTACTATTATGTAAGTTATGCCCAGTGTAGCTTTCACCTCAGATCATCTCATAAAATGAGGGATACATATGTGTCTGTGTGTTGTGTGTGTGTCCATGTGTGTATGAAAATTATTCAAACATGTTTCTTAAAAATATTTTTTTTCCTCAGGTGATAACTGGCAAGTTGAGGATTTACATTTTGCGGGGTAGAAACTAATGATGTGTTGATATGTTGTCACTATGAAGTTCTGTTTAAATTTCATCTTTAGTGAACATGGTAGTGATGTAAATTTCACTTGGCATGCTTTTGTAACTGTGTAATGCACCTAGTTAAAGTAGTCATGAAAGCAAGAAACAATGCATGTTCATATCTAGACAGTGCTTGCAGTCTGCTGTACATACTAATGGAACAAGTTCTCCAAAGGAAATTAATATTATACTATGAATATTTATATAGTTGTGAATTTTATGGATCAAAGACCTGAAAGTATGACTTTTATATGGAAGTAAGTTCATTAATTTCAACTATTATTAGCTCCTCCTCTATGCAAGGCGATGCTCTAGGTTCTGCAGGGAGCTGTGATTAAGAAAATATAGACAGATAGAAGGCAATCGTCCCGTTTCTCCAGTCCTTTTACCTTGGTTCTATATTTGCAAAATTCCTTATTTTCCTTTAACATTGGGCTCCATTAGCTTATCTCCATAGCTCTCTTCTTAAATAAAGTAGTCTACTTTGTTCCTTTCAAATGAAGGTAGACTTACAGACATCATGTCCTTTAGCTTTGACATCAAAAATATTTGAATTATCAGTTGGGAATATGCTTTAAGTCATTAGAACTGGAGAAATAAAATCTGTCAGTGACTCCCAACATTTTTTTTGGATTTTTTTTTCATTTTCTCATTGTTGCCCCTTTTATATAATTTCCTATATTTGTGCTAAGAAGTATTAATGGGTGCTCTCCAGGTTTGGTTAATTTGGGGTAGGCCTTTGTGCTGTCAATGGTTCAGAATTATATTTAATTTTTCTCAGCCCTTGAGGCATCCAGAAACCCTGGATGGCCCAAGCCGCCAGGTCAGAGCCTGTTAGTCGAGCAGAAGGCAGCCATAGCATGACAAGTGTTGGGGAGCATTAATTAATGAGAGGGACTTGTCTCCAAACTTCCTTAATGTTCAGAGATTTAAATGACTTTCCCTTTTTTTCAGCACTTTCTAACATCATCTCTCCATTTTATTACTTAATTAAAGAGGCATGCAGATTTTGAAAGGAAAACACATGTTTTTCCATGGCTTCTATTTTGTCTTGTGTATGAAACAATATAAGTTCTAGATGTTTGCTAAATATTGCCTCACTTATTTTGCTATTGCTAAAGCCAGAGAAGGAAGTTTTATAAGACTCCCCTACAAATAAGTTTAACTCTGTAAATTTCAGTTTTTTCTTCTGCAAAAGGAGAGTAAAATAGTCCTACTATATAGGGTATGAGTAGGAGGATAAAATGCATGTATGTCATAGGACCGAGCATATCCTAGCTACTCAATAACTCTCATGCTATGTTGACATGTTTTCATAAAATTTGTGAATATGTGTGATCATTTTTGTTCTTTTCCCCAGGTACAACAAAAATTTAGAAGAAGCTAAAAGAATTGGGATAAAGAAAGCCATTACAGCCAATATTTCTATAGGTGCTGCTTTCCTACTGATCTATGCATCTTATGCTCTGGCCTTCTGGTATGGGACCACATTGGTCCTCTCAGGGGAATATACTATTGGACGAGTACTCACTGTAAGTGATTTATATTAAGAAATGAACCATTATTTTAAAATGACAACGAAATTCAGTAATGTTGACTTGACTTTAGAAGAATGTATTTTGAACAACTATTGAATACTACAGACACACGCACTACTAGGTTAAAAAGTGGAAAAAAATTAGATGCATCCAACAACCAGTTTTGTTGTCTTTTTTGCAGATGTCTTGCCCAATTTCTCCTGTGGCTTAAATAATACCAACATTAGCAATCTCAATAGCATGAACTTTTATTTGTTGAGATTATTTGTGTCAAACTTGATGTTAAACACTTCACTTTTATTTTCTGATCTACAATTCACAAAAATGGTAAAATACACAGTTTCACTTCAAATTATTTCGAATGGCAGCTAATCCACCTCACAATTATAGAAGTATAAATGATTCCTCTTCCTAGAAGATTGTTTGGAAGTTTTCTGCATTATAGACCTTTGTGCAAGCTCACAGTCTTGCCATTTAATTTTATATTTTTTTATTTTGAAGACAATGAAATAATTTGCAAACCAAACTCAATTTGTGTCTGGCTGTAGTAAAATACACACTGTTAAAAGAGTCACTTAGTTCCTTTTTCATAGGCCAGACACAAGTAAATTGAGGCAATGAGAGATGATATTTTGTGGAATTCCTCAAAACAATTCCCTATTTCAGGAGCCAGATTTGTAATATGGATGCAATAATCACCTCTTTTGTTTTTTGAATTTGCTATATCCAACATTACTCAATCAGGAATGGCTTTTCCCATAAAGCTTTTTTGAGTATAGTGATGCTATTGGTGAGCTGTAGTTGTTTTAAGAGATGTATTCTGTTTAACTGTGATTGAGATAAGCAGTTTAAATCCAGTATTTACTGGGCATAAATATACCTCACAAACTGAAGGCATCCAGAATAGGGAGTGTGGGGTTTGATATCAGACCAGCTTGGTTCAAATGGCAGCTGTGTCACTTATTAGCTGTATGATTTAGGGCAGCCAGCTAAACTTTTCAAGCCTCTGATACCTTTTCTCCCACATGACATGACAGGAATGAGCTTTAACTTTCACTGTTGTTTTGAGGACTTATTGAGTTAATGAATACAGAATCACCTAGTAAAGTTCCTTCTGTGTAAATTACTGAACAATGTAATTCCATGTGATTTAGAAAAAATAAATAATAACATTAATTCTCACCAACCCTAAAGACAAACAAAAGACCTAAAGAGAACATGGCCTGTGACAAAAAAGACTTAACCTGATAAAAGATCAATGCCTTATGTGTGTGTGCTTTATAATTTACAAAAAATGTTTGTATACCCTGTTTTATTATGATACAACATCTCGATGATTGCTGGATAGGGGGAATGGATAGAACCTTGCCTATTATTCAAAAGAAGAAATTGAAGCCAAAGATTTTAAGAGAATGGCTTAACAACATCTAGCTAGTTAGTACTAATTTAGGATTTAGAACTAGGTCTTCCAATTTCTCTGCTAGTGTTTATTTCCACTTTAGTCTGTTAATGGTCTAAATAAAAAAATCTCAGACATTGAAGAAATGTAAAAATATCCTATTATAATATTCTGGCCCTATAAAATTTAAATCATTGTTTTGTTGAGCAAGTAAGACTAATTCTGCATTCTAAATTGAAAAGTATTTAAAGTTCTGAAATATTTTTAGTATGGGCAACATAGTGGGATCCCATCTCTACAATTTTTTTTATTTTTTTTTAAATTAGCCAGGTATGCTGGGACCTGTCTGTAGTCCCAGCTTCTTCAGAGACTGAGGTGAGAGGGTCATCTGAGCCCATGAGGTTGAAGTTGCAGTGAGCCAGGGTTGCACTACTGCACTCCAGGCTGGGCCACAAAGCAAGACCTTGTCTTAAACTTTTTTTAAATTTTATGCTATTTTTAATTGAGAAACCATAATTGTTTTACACTTATGGAGTACAATGTGATGTTTATGTACACACACACACACACACGATGTGGAGTTTTCAGATCAAGCTAACATATCCATCACCTCACTTGACACTTTTTGAGATGACACATTTGAAATTTACTCTTGGCTGGGTGGGGTGGCCCATGCCTATAATCCTAGGACTTTTGGAGGCTGAGGCAAGAGGATTGCTTGAAGCCAGGAAACCAGGGACACATAGCAAGATCCTATCTCTACAAAAAATTTAAAAATTATGTGTGATGGTGCATGCTTGTAGTTCAAGCTACTTGGGAAACTAAAGCAGGAGGATTGCTTGAGCCTAGGAGGTAGAGGTTATAATGAGATATGATTGCACCACTGCGTCATAGTGACAGAATCATCCTCCTCCTGGGTGACAGAATGAGACCCTGTCTCTTAAAAAAGAAAAAAAAATGAAAAAAGGAATTAAATGTACTGTTAGTTACAAACTTTTAGAATATTTTTAACACCTAGTACTTACATGTTGCCTTGTCATTTTAAATTTTAATTAGCTATATTAGAAAGAGAAGAAGTATGAAAAAACTTTTGCTGTCACTATCTGAGTAACCTGATGTCTTTTCATCATATTCCTCAGGTATTCTTTGCTGTGTTAATTGGGGCTTTTGGTGTTGGACAGACATCTCCAAGCATTGAAGCATTTGCAAATGCAAGAGGAGCAGCATATGAAATCTTCAAGATAATTGATAATGTAAGTCTGAGTTGGCCACTTACACATCTATCTAAAAGATTGTCCAGTTAAGAGTCAATTTCTTTGTCTCTTTATCCAGCTGTCCACAAAATATCACTAAAAGTAATTATTGTAACCTAATATTGTGTTAAAATTTGACTCTGTTTAGAAGCCAAGCATTGACAGCTATTCGAAGAGTGGGCACAAACCAGATAATATTAAGGGAAATTTGGAATTCAGAAATGTTCACTTCAGTTACCCATCTCGAAAAGAAGTTAAGGTACAGTGGTCAATGATCAATCAGCAATTAATCTATTGAATGAAGAGTTTCTGATATTTTCTTTAGAGATTATGAAAAAAATGCATGTATATTTAAACCTAGTATTGAACGGTCAGTTCCTATACCCTGTGTCTGTGAATTGCCTTAAAGTTTTTTTCTCACTGTCCTGGTAGATCTTGAAGGGCCTGAACCTGAAGGTGCAGAGTGGGCAGACGGTAGCCCTGGTTGGAAACAGTGGCTGTGGGAAGAGCACAACGGTCCAGCTGATACAGAGGCTCTATGACCCCACAGAAGGCATGGTGAGATGATCTGTGCTGAGCTAGACTCTGTGGTGATCAGCAGTCATATTGCACATCTTTCTGGTATTGCCCTTTCAATTACAAATGTATGAAAGTCACCCTTACTTTTTGTTTCAGGTCAGTGTTGATGGACAGGATATTAGGACCATAAATGTAAGGTTTCTACGGGAAATCATTGGTGTGGTGAGTCAGGAACCTGTGTTGTTTGCCACCACGATCGCTGAAAACATTCGCTATGGCCGTGAAAATGTCACCATGGATGAGATTGAGAAAGCTGTCAAGGAAGCCAATGCCTATGACTTTATCATGAAACTGCCTCATGTAAGTTGTCCTTGACCTTTGCTTTTCTAGAGGTGCAAAGAATAAAATGCAGGCCTACTACATAGGAAGTTAGGAAACTACTGTAAATCAGAGGAAGGGAAATCCTAAGAAGGGAAATCAAGATTACTTCAGATTTGAAAGCTCTAGCAGTATCAACTGGTCATAGACCAATTTTTAAAAACTGGGGTTGGTTATTATGCTAACAAAGATTTAAAGAACTGGACTTGTATTGCCTGTGAGACTTGGGTTATGTATAGGATTCCTTACTGATTTAAAATATGAGCTGAGATAGCTTGTCCTTGTGCTACATCATTCTGGGTTTTTTGTGGTAGAAATTTGACACCCTGGTTGGAGAGAGAGGGGCCCAGCTGAGTGGTGGACAGAAGCAGAGAATCGCCATTGCACGTGCCTTGGTTCGCAACCCCAAGATCCTCCTGCTGGACGAGGCCACATCAGCCTTGGACACGGAAAGTGAAGCAGTGGTTCAGGTGGCTCTGGATAAGGTCAGTAAGGCTTAGTTCAAACCAGCCTGATTTATAAGCATAAGAACATTCTACTATCAGTTCTTGTATATATTTGTCTTAGAAAAGGAAATTTCTGATAGCTTCTAGGTGATTTCTTCAGCTATTAAAATAAAAGCATTAGGGCTCTTTGAACTCTTTTACTCTTTGTTTTTTTTCTTGTTCAATTTGTGTTTATTTCTCTGATCTTATTTTAAGTGATGATGAATAAATTTTCCTTTAAAGACACTTGCAAATCTTTTAAACTAAAAAATAGAAATATAGACACAAGTGAAAATTCATCTTCATTGTGATTTTCAAAACTTGACTATTTGGATAACCCTGTTATTTAGGTTTTGAGAGTCTGTAATATTGCCAAGAAGAGAAAAATACAACCTGAAGGTCCATATTTAATTTTCAAGGTGTTGAATGCCACTTTAAGAAATAAGAAATATCATAGACTTAGGTAAACCTCTTATTTCCAGGAGAGGGGCAGAGAGCCTATGATATTGAAAACCTACCTAAGCCATGAAACGTTATTCAGTATCAACAGAGTTTGACTGTCCTACAATGCTTGAGTCCATATGACTCATTCACCATGTAGGATTTGAGTGTTTGCCCTGTGCCGGGCACTGTGCGTTTGATCTCCAGCATGTGATGAAAACAGAGATAATTCTGTGAGGACCAGGAATGTGGAGCTGGTGACTTTCTAACCAAAGGTGCTCCGACTTGAGATGTCACAGTAGAATTCAAAGATGAACCCATATTTGTTCCAACTCTCCCTTTCTCTAGTAAAACAACACTGAATGTTCCTTTAAACATCCTGTCAATGTGCTTAATAAATTTTTGAGGGAGGAATTTAAAAAAGCAGCTTACTAAACATTCTGTGAACCAAAATAGAGGCAAATGGGATTGTGGCTCCTTTTTTTTCCCTATCATTTTGCTTAATCTGTGATTTCACCCCTCCCTCCCTCCGCCCTCCCTCTCTTCCTTCATTCCTTTCCTCCTCCTTCCCCTCCTCTTCCTTTCTTCCTTCTTTCCTTCTTCCCTTCTTCCCTTCCTCCTTTTCTCCTTTCCTTCTTCCCTCCTTCCCTTCGTCTTCCCCTTCCCCTTCCCCCTTTCTTTCCTCTTTCCTTTCCCCTTTCCTTTCCTTACCCAGACTGAAGTGCAGTAGTGCTCAAATGGCTCACTGCAACCTCTGCTGCCCAGGCTCAAGTGATCCTTCCACCTGCTATTTTTTTTTTTTAGATGGAGTCTCACTCTGTCACCCAGGCTGGAGTGCAGTGGTGCAGTCTTGGCTCACTGCAACCTCTGCCTCCTGAGTAGCTGGGATTACAGGTGCATGCCACCATGTCTGACTAATTTTTGTATTTCTAGAAAAGACAGGGTTTTACCATGTTGCCCAGGCTGGTCTTGAACTCCTGACTTCAGGTGATCTACCTGCCTCAGCCTCCCAAAGTGCTGGGATTACAGGCATGAGGCTGGGATTACAGCCTCCCAAAGTGCTGGGGTTACAGGCTACTGTGCCCAGCCCCCAGCTATTTTTAGATGTTTTTGTAGAGATGAGGTCTCACTATCTTGCCCAGACTAGTCTGAAACTCCTGGGCCACCTCAGCCTCCCGATGTGCAGGAATTACAGATATGAGCCACCACTTATTTGTTTGCTTATCTGTGTTTCCTTATTAATCTGTAGTGAAAGTATGCATTAAATTATAAATAAAAGCAATTTTAAAAGGTTATATTTTAAAAAACTTTAGGGTATAAATTTTGGGGGAAAATTTCACATCCCCCTTTTTCTCAAAAACATGCAAAGAATCGATCTATTGTCTTCTGTATTTTCTAGTTTCTGCCACCTAATTTTTCTCTTGTGTATTTTGTTTTTGAAGTTTTCTACTTCTGCTTATCGTATTGATCCTGAAAATGTTATGTCTTGGTTTTGATAATTGTATTGCTAGTTACTGGAGAGAAATATAGAGTAACAAAAATCATGAGCATTGGGAAAGTTACAAAGGTTAAAGAAGTCTCAGACAAGGCCTGGGTATCTGGCTTTGTTCCTCTGTGAAAATAAAAGAGATTTACATGACTCTTCAATTTTTCCATGATTCTTCTACATAGAAATAAGTATCACTTATTAAGCACTTGGTATGGATAAGTCACAGTGTTGAGTACTTTATGTGCATTATTTCATTTAGTCATCACAGCTACTCTAAGAAGTGAATCCTATTATTGTTCCCATTTTACATATGAATAAATTGAGCCTCACACAGGCTCCTTGGATAAAATAAATTCTAACATTTATTTCAGGTCAATGTGACACTGTGGTCTGGACTTTGTTGCCTCACATTTATTGTCTGTCTTGTTCATCCAGGAGGTCATGTGGGATAGAATATTATGATTCCTAGAACTGCTTACTACTGGTGTGTACCAGTACAGCACAATGGCCTGTGTTTGTTTTGACTGGCCAATGTCTGGGCCTTAGGAATTTGTTGGTTTTCACAAGCTCCTGATTATATGTGACTATTATATTTGTGTTTGTATTTATTATAATAAAACATCTTTTTAACTATTTTCAATTGTCTATACATTTATTGAAGTCAGAGTTTATCTTATATAGATTTGATGGTTTTACAATGCCCAAAGCACTGGTTCAGTAAATATATGCTGAATGGATAAGTTTTTTCATGTACTTATTAGTATATTCAGAAACCAAATTTCCCTGTCTTTAGGCCAGAAAAGGCCGGACCACCATTGTGGTAGCTCATCGTTTGTCTACAATTCGTAATGCTGATGTCATCGCTGGTTTTGATGATGGAGTCATTGTGGAGAAAGGAAATCATGAGGAACTCATGAAAGAGAAAGGAATTTACTTCAAACTTGTCACAATGCAGGTATAGTTTAACTTTAAACATTTCCTGTGTCATCTCAGTGATAAACTGATTTTGCATGTAATGCTAAAAATAAATAGTATTTGATTTGATTATCTTTAAAAGTAGGAAAAAACGCTTGCAGGATTCAGGAAGAGACCAGTATTTAAGATTTCTTTTCTCTCTTGAAAAGAGGGAAAATAAAGAAGGATAAACAGATAAAAAAAAATTAAAAGGTTTCAGGGTGAGTTATCCATTATAGTAGTCAATAGCCACACATGCCTTAGAGATTTAAAGAGTAGTGAATCTGAATTGGAATGTTGTAAGTAGAGTGTGCACATATTGTTCTGAAGATGTAGTACAAAAAAAGATGCAGAATATCTCAATTTTTATATTGATTACATGTTGAAATGGTATCATTGAATATCAATAATATCTTGGATATATTAGGTGAAATAAAATATATAATTAAAATTGATTTGACTTCTTTCTTTTTACATTTGTTAACATGACCTCTGGAAAATTTGAAATAACATGGCTTACAGTATGGCTTGCTCCATATTTCTCTTGACTGCCCTGATCCAGAATAAACTTGATTGAGTCCAAACACCCACGAAAAAGGTCCTGAGAAGATAAGCTACATGGAATTAATGCCATATTATTTCAGTATAGTCAGTGGGAATCCTCCTTCTTTAGTGGTTTTTATTTTCAAATATCATATAGAAACACACACATACACATAAGACAATCCAGCAGATTAGCTTTATCATTTCCTGCAGTTACTGAACAAATTACTGTTTTCCTTGATAGCTGACATTCAGTGATTAACTTTCATTGGTTAGCAGAGCTGAATGAGCTTATGCATATTTCTTGTTTATTTTAGACAGCAGGAAATGAAATTGAATTAGAATATGTAGCTGATGAATCCAAAAGTGAAATTGATGCCTTGGAAATGTCTTCGAATGATTCAGGATCCAGTCTAATAAGAAAAAGATCAAGTCGGAGGAGTATCCGTGGATCACAAGGCCAAGACAAAAAGCCTAGCACCAAAGAAAATCTGGTATGAAGAGGGATGTGGAGTTTGTTTTAATCTCAACCACTGTGGTTCCCTTAGTTTGGTGGGTTAGGGCTACAGCAGGAGTGGGAACAAGAAAGGGTTGTCCAGAATCCTCCTGTCCTAGCCCCCAGAATGTTCCACAAGCCAGAACGTCAACATTTTAAAATCAGGTTAGATTTTAAGAATGTTAATTTATGTGGCAGAATTTTTAGAATTAAAATTTATAGTGTAAAGAGACTATAGTGGGTCTTCAAATAACATTTCTATTCTGTTTCTATTCCTGTTAGGTTCTGAATACCAAATAAAAGTTAAGTGTTTGTGGAAACATCATTTTTTTTTTTAAATAAATGAGCATTGGCCGGGCGTGGTGACTCATGCCTGTAATCCCAGCACTTTGGGAGGCTGAGGTGGGTGGATCACGAGGTCAGGAGTTCAAGACCAGATTGGCTAACATGGTGAAACCCCATATCTACTAAAATATACAAAAATTAGCTGGGCATGGTGGCTCGTGCCTGTAATCCCAGCTACTTGGGAGGCTGAGGTAGGAGAATTGCTTGAACCAAGACCCAGGAGGCAGAGGTTGAAGTAAGCCAAGATCACACCACTGCACTCCAGCCTGGGCTACAGAGTGAGACTCCATCTCACAAAAGAAAAAAAAAAAAAGTTTGTCAGCATTTTTTGAAGCTAAATAATAATCACTATGACATTTTTTGAAGCAAAATTGTCATGGTTGATTACTTGATAAGGAATTAGGATAGGATATATTTCTGTATAAATTTTTGTGTGTATGTAAGAACTGTACATTATAAAATCAATTATAAAAGTTTATAACTAGCCTGTTGTAATAATTTGTGTTTTCTAGGATGAAAGTATACCTCCAGTTTCCTTTTGGAGGATTTTGAAGCTAAATTTAACTGAATGGCCTTATTTTGTTGTTGGTGTATTTTGTGCCATTATAAATGGAGGCCTGCAACCAGCATTTTCCGTAGTATTTTCAAAGATTATAGGGGTAAGTGTGATGCCCATTTGTGTGATTTACTTGTGATTTCTGACTGAAGAATGAATGAACTGTTTGTGTTTGAACCGGGATACATAAGCCACAAAATCTATGTATCTTTATACGAAACTAATTGGCTTGAAGACGTAAGAATGGAAGTCTGATATGTGATAGGAAAGGTAACTTTGTGAACTTTCCTTTGTCCTTGCAGTTGGTTTTTCCCTAGGTCCTAGGTTATTTCAGCTTTCTGAAATAGTCAATGAAACTGATGAGATGACTTTCTCATACCTGCCAACATTGGGCTCTGAACAAGCCTGGTCTAACTCTCATTTCACTAGTGTCCAAAGAGAGTTCCTCAAATGTTTGTCAGATTGGCTTGAGAATGCACTGTTCTCTAACACATATACTTGCTAGGACATGAGTATGCCTAGCATGCTACTTTGGTAAGATGTAATTTTCATCCCACTTGCTAAGATTAAAATAAAAAGGAGCAGCTTCCTCAAGATGGAGGTTGACATATGTTGGTTCCACTCATCTAAACGGTGGTATTTTCAACAATAAAGTTACAATCTGAAAGGAATGCTCTCTGTTTAATAACATATGTCCAAACATCAAGCTGAGGAAACCCTTGCCATAACTGCTGAAAACATTGTGAAGAAAGAGATTGATTACCACAAGAAGCATAAGCTAAACACTGACTTTTGATTCTACAAAATGTATATGACCATTCAGGTATACCCATGCCTGGCTAGCTTATTTCAGTTTAATATATTCATTCATTGGCTGGGCATGGTGGCTCATGCCTGTAATCTCAACACTCAGAGGCCAAAGTGCATGGATCACCTTAGGTCAGGAGTTCAAGACCAGTCTGGCCAACATGGTGAAACCCCATCTCTACTAAAAATACAAAAATTAGCCTGGTGTGGTGGCACATACCTGTAATCTCAGCTACTCAGGAGGCTGAGGCAGGAGAATTGCCCCAACCCAGGAGGCAGAGGTTGCAGTGAGCCAAGATTTTACCACTACACTCCAGCCTGGCGACAGAGTGAGAATCCATCTCAAAAAAATATATGTATATATATATTTTCTAGAATTATTATATTTATTATGATAATATGTAATAATAATAATACTTATTATTATTATTTGAGTCTCTGTCACCCAGGCTAGAGTGTGGTGCATGATCTTGGCTCACTGCAGCCTCTGCCTCCCTAGGTTCAAGTGATTCTCCTGCCTTAGCCTTCTGTGTAGCTAGATTACAGGCATGCACCACCATGCCTGGTTCATTTTTGTATTTTTAGTAGAGACAGGGCTTCACCATGTTGGCCAGGCTGGTCTCGAACTCCTGACCTCAAGTGATCCACCTGCCTCAGCCTCTCAAAGTGCTGGGATTACAGGCGTGAGCCACGGGACCTGGCCTCAAGAATTATTTTTTGTGTCTGCTATGTGCCAGATATTTTTCTAGTTGTTGAAAAAAATTCTGAGAATGTGATCAAATGTCTGATTCTGTAGAGTAGGTGTTCCAGGACAGGAGTCAGCAAACTTTTTCTATAAACAGTAAGATGGTAAATATTTTAGGCTTTGCAGGCCGTATGGTTTCTTTTGCAAATACTCAACTCTGATCTGGTAGTACACAATGACAATGTGGAAGCAAATGAACACGGCTGTGTTCCATTAAAACTTTAAACATTTGGCCAGTGGCCCATAGTTTTCTGATCCTTGCACTGATATATGTCTTGCAGGTTGAGGGTGATAGACCATGGTGTCGTCAGAAAAAGAAAAAAAAAAAGAACTGGTTAAGTTAGGAATGGGTTTGGTTGTAACAAAACCTCCATTTATTGGTTTTATACTTTTCTCATTTTTCATATAACAATAAGTCTGGAGGTACGTGACCCAAGGCAGACATATTAGCTCTTAGATATTGAGTAGGCAACCAGATGTCTGCCTTATTGAAGATAGTGGGCTCTGCATCAGATTGCTTGAATTTATATCCTTGAGTCATCCCTTGCTGGCTATGTTAACTTGAGCAAATTAAATTAACCTCTCTATACTTCAGTTTCTGTTTTTGTAAAACTGTGATGTTAATAAATTATACTTCAGGAGATGGTTGCCAGGATTAGAGGAATAGTATATATGAATTTGCTTAGAATAATGCCTGGCACAGAGTGAGAATTTAGTAATTGTTAAGATTTTTATTGGACTGACTAGTCAAAAAAATTTATTTAATCTCTTCAAAAATCCTTTGTTGTTGTTGTTATTGTCTGATTGTTTTTTCGAAGGATAACGTTGTCTGTGTTGGGTTAGGAATGTGGCCATCTTACAGGACTGATTTTGGCCCACTATGAAGGGAGATGTGTGTTTTATTTCCCTGAGGAATGGTTACTCTCTGTGTTCCTTGAGTCCAAAATACCCTATCAGCCTTTTTAACCATCTCTGGAAAAATTTTCATGTATGGTGCTGGGTCAGGTAACTATAGTGTCCTGGCTGTCTAACTGGCCATGCTACAAAGAAGGCAGGGTCAAGGAAACCCCTTTCTTTTTGAAAGGCCTGGGCTAAGTGAATGACCACGGCTCTGTGGTTCACCAAGAAACCATGTCAGATTTTCCGCAGACACTTCGGGACAGTTTGAAATGTCCAAATAGTAAAGCCATGAACTGCCATAGTTATAGTTCTCCACTAAGGAAAGAGAGAGTATTCGTTCTGATTTCAAGTTTATGCAGTTCAGTGGTATTCATGACTCCAAGAGGGAATCTGAGCAGAAAAAATAATGGATCAATTTATTAATGACAGACCCATCCTTGGCCTCCATGGAAGGCAGAATGCAGATACCTTTAAAGCTGGCAATAGGAAAGCCAACCCTGATTTCCAGTGTACTAAGGCTCTCCTGACCTCTGAATATTGGGCTAGATGGGAAATAGGTCACATCCGGGATGGGTTCTTCACTGATTGAACTAAAAATCTTTTAAATGTTTTCTCACAGATTTTTACAAGACATGAGGATCCTGAAACAAAACGACAGAATAGTAACATATTTTCACTATTGTTTTTAGTTCTTGGAATTATTTCTTTTATTACATTTTTCCTTCAGGTAAGTGTCTCCACTTTCACTTTATTCGTTTTGAGAAATGCATCATTATTCAATGGGGGGAATTTATAAACATCAGTGTAATTTGCCTTTTAGTAGAACTTCTCTATTAATTTGGCTACTAACAGCCAACTTTTTCTGACATAGTGAAAAAAAGATGTTTGCCTCCTCTGGCTCCCTTTCTTACCTTCTCTCTACCCTCACTCAGTGAAACCAGAGGGAACAGAGTGTTTGGCCTAATATGATGATTGGACGTGAAAGGTAGGGACTTAAAAATGGGGTGTGGGGAAGCCCTGGATACAAGTTTGGACATAAGTATTGCCAGTAAATGTAAATACTCAAATGCTTTCCTGTGTTCTAAAAGCAATAACAAACAAACAAAACCCCATACTGGCTTAAAAAGAGTTTGAAGGGTTTATTATTCAACTTCTGTTAAAGGAGAAAGAATCATTTTAATGGTGGAATAATATCAATCCTTCAACAAAAACGTAGGAACCATTCGTCAAGAGTCGGATATGTACAGCTTGCAAATCATTTGGCTGAAATGAAATGGCAAGGAAAGTTTAAAAGTTTAGTTTGAGGGCTGGGTTCGGTGACTCACGCCAGTAATCCCAGCACTTTGGGAGGCGAGGCAAGTGGATTACCTGAGGTCAGGAGTTTGAGACCAGAATGGCCAACATGGCGAAACTCTGTCTCCACTAAAACCACAAAAATTAGCAGAGTATTGTGATGCATACTGATGAAACCCTGTAGTCTCAGCTGCTCATGAGGCTGAGGCAGGAAATGTCTCAGAAACCCAGGATGCCAGGAGGTGGAGGTTGTAGTGAGCTATGATCATGCCACTGCACTCTATCCTGGTCAAGAGTGAGTCCCTGTCTCAAAATAAATAAACAAATAAAGTTTAGTATGGCAAGACCATACTGGTTTTGGTTCAGGTGCTCCTTGTACCTGTTCCTGATTTTGTGCCCTTGGGCAAATAAGTAACCTGTTGAAGCTTCTGTTTTCTTAGTTGTAAACTAGGGATACTAGTATCTCCTCTTGATTAAAAGGATCATGTGACCAAGTGCCCAGGCCTGCGTGAGGAAGTAGTAGGTAATCACTTATTCATTGAATGATTAGCCACCTATAATTCTTAAAGATAAAACTCTGAATTGATCTCTTTATTTAACATGTAAGCATGTATTAAATTTTTTAAAAATAGAATATTGTTCTGGACATTATAGGAGGTGCAAAAGATAAACAGACTGAATTCTTTGTTTGCTAAGTACTTAAAATCTCACTGGGGAATTTGACCTTACTAGAATAAATGTGACACTCTAGCTACTTACAGGATTGCCATACCAGCTATTAATACCACAGGTGTTTGGAGAAGGTAAAGATTGCTCACTGTAAATTTGGTTAAGAAACTTGGAGTGAGGTAGGCTTTGAGCTGGTCCCTTAAATGTTGACAATTTGAATTTGGTGAAGCAAAAGAAGTTAGACCACTACCTTTATAACATCACAGCTCTAGGTGTCTGGGGAGACTGGAACCATTCTCACTTGCCTGGAAAACAAGTGAGAATGAAGTCTGTGAATTATAGGACCTTGGAAGTCTAGAGGTAACAAAATGCCTAAAGATGTTAGACTGCCCAACTCCTCATCTTAGTAACATGGGGAGGGAGCCCAGTGGGTAATTAAAAGCTCAGGCTCTTGGTTCCCATTCTGGTTGGCAGTCTCATGGACTCAGGTTCAGATTCCAACTCTGCCCCCTTATAACCGTGGCTTCTGAATCTTGCCAGCCTTACTAAACCTGTTTTTCTGTAAAGTGGGCTTTTTTGTCTACACCGCCAGTACAGCCTTGTGCCATGGCACATGGTTGCAGAAACATAGCAAGCCCTTGAAATCAGGCTTTCTGACTTTGTCTAATCTGCTTTAGCAAATACATCAATTCTCCCTCCTTTTATGTAATTGGCGACTGGGTCTCTGACAAGGCATATTTCTGTCCACAGGGCTTCACATTTGGCAAAGCTGGAGAGATCCTCACAAAGCGGCTCCGATACATGGTTTTCCGATCCATGCTCAGGCAGGTATGTCTACCGAGGGTTGTGCACTGGGATATGTAGAACTCCCCATGTGTGCCCCGTGGACTCAGACAGTGGGAGCTCTGTCATGTTACCCACGCCTAGCTTCTATATTGGTTGTCCCTCAGTCTTATGTCAGAGGTGTGGCTGAACCTCCCACTACGTGCAGGCTAGGCTCTGCGGTTTGACTGGTCTGGGTGGGCACAAGGAACTAGACCAGTTTGAGAAAGAGCCTCTAGAGTGAATTCACCTCTAGCCTGTGTCTCAGCAGTGGTAGGCAGTGCAGGAAGAAGGCATCTTTGATACCCTTCATCTCTTTCCTGTCTTTCCTCTTTCTCCTGGGAAACCCAGGGCATGGGTATTTCTTTCCACCAACAGTGCCCTCTGTACTCTCTCTTTCCACAAATCAAAACTCATCCCTGTGGCCCATTCCTCACTGCACATTTTATTTTCTGAGGCTAGACTGAAATACTAGTTCAAGCTGCAGTGTTACTGGTTGATAATGAGTTTGATGGAATGCTTCTCACATTTTGTACCTTCAAAACCCTAACCATGGACACATGTGAATTTTTTCCTTGGGAAATGAGGGAGGAATTATAGGAATGTAACTCAGAGCAGCCTGGTTCAAAGGGGAAAGTTCTTTTAACAATCGTGAGAATTTTGTTTGTGACCTAATAACTTTCCATTTTAAAAATCACTAACCACTTGCCATTGAGTAAAATGATGCTTTAGCTGTCTGCCCCAGATGTGCCAGCGGTACTTGAACCCTGACTAAGAGGCATCAGTTTGGTGTGTTAGGCTTTCTAGAGACATTCACATTTTTCCAACTGTGTATGGTTCCTTAGTCCTTCCCTATTCCTCCCATTACCTCTTAAAAAGAAAATATATTTATGGGAATTGCTAGCTAGTGACTGCCAGAGCCAGGACTGAATCTGAGTGAGAGCACGGTTTGATGGGAAACTGTGTCCCTGGACTCTCAGGTCGTACTGTACTTACAACTCTGATTCTATTTAGGTCAACGCTGACCTTGCTCCAGGGCCAAATCTCCCATTACCCAACAAGTCCCCAGGCCAACTGCTATGTCCATTATACTTTGGCAGCTGAGCTGATGGTTTGTGGAATGCCCTTTCTATAAATTGTTAAGTAGGACAAGCATTTATTAAGTGCCTTCTGCTTATAAGGTCTAGTACTTAGAATTGCAGGGCATTCGAACCTGAGTGGTCCCTGTATTCAAGGAAATTACAGTCCTGTGCAGAGATACTTTTAAGCACGTAAGAATATTGAAAAGCAACTTGATACATACTATCATAAATTATAGCACTATTTTTTTTCTTAAATATTTTTGGGAAAAATAATAGATACTTCTTTAATATAAAGAACCAGTTTAGATAACTCCTTAGGGACCACAGTTATTTGTAAAACATGTAAATTCATAGTTCAAATTCATAATCATGTTAGTATCTGTGTATTTAAAAATATTAAATGGTTTTTAAAAGAAAACCTTATTTTATGTTGAATGTTATGTGTTAATATGGATTGCTTTTGTTAATTTGTTTTTGACTCAAATCATTTGTACTGCCCTGAGCTACATTTATCTAACTGTTTGTTCCACCTCTCTATTGGATATCTAATAAGAATTTCACTGTTTAACATTTCCACAATTGAGCTTTTGACTCTTTCCCTCCCCACCAGACTTATTCCTTACCCACTCTTGCCTCATATTAGTAAGTAACAGCTCCATTCTACCAGTTGTTTGGGCTAAAAACCTTGAGGCCATCCTTGACTCTTCTCTTTCTGTTAATATTGCAAAAGCTTCCTAACTGGTCTCCCTGCCTCCCTTATCCCAATCCAGTAGGTTCACCTTAAAACAACGAGAGTCATTTTGCTAAAATAGATAACAAATCATATCCCACTGCCCAAACCTGCTGAAGGCTGCACCTAGCTCACAGTCTGGAATCTTGACAGTTGCCTACAAGGCCATACACTATGTGGCTCCCACTGTCTCTCAGACCTCATCTCCTACAACCACCTTTTTCCAACATACCATCTACTCCATACACAGTGGCTCATTGCCCAAGAGTAGGGGAGGGGAGGATCAGAGGACCCAACTGAGAATACAAATCTGTCCAGAGGAAGGTGCGGCTTTTGCAAATTCACACAAAGGTTCTTTTTAGGCTGCTGGCAGCCTTTAAGGTTTTCTTGCTGGTTTTCTTGCTGGAACAGATCAGGTATGCCTTTGCCTCAGGGCCTTCGCGTGTGTTATTTCTTCCTTTCCTGAGTTATTCTCACCCTTTTCTTCTTTCAGGCCCCTGTTTAGATGTCCCCTTAGACACGCCTTCTCTTTCCGCTTCCCAGTCTCTAAAATAGCACCTCCCCTCACTTTTCTTTTTTTTTTTTTCTTTTATTTTTTTTTTTTTGAGACGGAGTCTTTGTCTATCACCAGGCTGGAGTGCAATGGCGTGATCTCAGCTCACTGCAACCTCTGCCTCCTGGGTTCAAGCAATTCTCCTGCCTCAGCTTCCCGAGTAGCTGAGGCTACAGGCGTGTACCACCATTCCCAGCTAATTTTTGTATTTTTAATAGAGACGAGGTTTCACCATGTTGGCCAGCTTGATCTTGATATCCTGACCTCATGATCCACCTGCCTCGACCTCCCAAAGGGCTGGGATAACTGGTGTGAGCCACTGTACCCGGCCCTGTCTTTCTTATCCTGATCGATTTTTCTTTTATTTGTGCCTTCCATCTCTAGAATCTAAGCTTCATGAAAGCAGCTACTTTGTCTTTTTTGTTCATACAGGTCCAACACTTAGAAATCATTTGTACAACAAAGTAGGCACTCAGGTAGTTTTTTGACAAATGAAATGGTCTATTTATGTGTTTTTATATTAAGTTTCCTTCTCATGTATTGAATGTCACATCCTGAGTGCTAAATGCAGGGGACATAAGTATAAACAAAACTGACCCTGTTGCTGCCCTATTGCGCTGAGAGTCTCATAAACAGAGCTTTAAGATAATAAAACTTTGTTCTGTGCCGCAGGATGTGAGCTGGTTTGATGACCCTAAAAACACCACTGGAGCATTGACTACCAGGCTCGCCAATGATGCTGCTCAAGTTAAAGGGGTATGTGCTTCCTTTCTACTGGTGTTTGTCTTAATTGACCATTTTGGATCCCAGGATGAAACTAATTTTTTTGTTACAGGTGTTATTTCTCATCATTAAGAAAATGTTCAGTAAATATCTAACCTACAAACTTATCACATGCTTTTTTTAACAAAATGTTAACTATTTAAACATTATATACTGCAGATCTTATAGATCATTTATAAACCTTCTTTTGCTATTGCTATTATTCATGCTATTAATAAACTACTTGTAGAATAGTTATTTAGAAAGAGAGTATGAAGTGCTAGTTAACATAAAATTGTAATTGCGACTGAAGAAATGATGTCTTTAATTGCTGTAAGAAAGTTTAAGGTCACTGTGGTTACAGAAAGGAAGGAAGACAATCCTCTAAAATATAGGTTGAAAGAAATGAAAAGCACATTAAAAATTAAAGGAGGGATAGAATAACTTTATCTTTAATAACTTTAAACTTTAATAATTTTGATAACTTAAAGTTTGCTGCTGTATCAATCTCTTGATATAACTAGAAACTATTGAACTAGCAGGTTTTTATTTCTGGCTGAAGTGACAATTTCTTCAGCAACTGTTTATGGCAAAAGTTCACAAAATGATGTAGAATTTGAAAAACTTCATGTGATCTCTGCTGTGTCTTTTCCCCTCTTGACCCTTATCCATCTTTATCTTTAAATCTTTCTGTAAGATAGTACTATACTAACATTTCTTCTGTCTAATATATTCTGTAAGAATAAATTAAGCTATAAATGAGGAAACAGAGTTATAACCTTGAAATATAAATCTTAGGAGTCCCTCTTTTTTCTGTTGTTTGGATTAGTTTCAGAAGGAATGGTACCAGTTCCTCTTTGTAATTGTTGTTTCAATACAAACTTCTTTGCTTAAAGCAAACAAAACAGTAAAAATCAAGGCTTAGATCAAGTTGTATAGAACATAATTACCAGTACATGCCTGTAATCCCAACTACTTGGGAGGCTAAAGCATGAGAATTCATTGAACTCAGGAGGTAGACGTTGCAGAGCTGAGGTCACACCACTGCACTCCAGCTTCAGTGACAGAGCAAGACTCTCTCTGTCACACACACACATGCGCATGTGTGTGCACATAAAAAAAAGTGAAGAAGACAGAGTAAGTGGAATAGAGTGAGTGAAAGGAAGAGTCATAAGTGCTAAGGTCAGCGTTATATCCAGAAGTAGATGGGAAACACTGTAGGGTTTTAGACACAAAAGTGATTATCTGAAATTTTTAAAGGATCACTATAGAACTGTGTGAATAGGCCAAAGGGGGCAAGCATAGAAGGAGTCTATTGCAGTAATCCAGGAGAGAGATGATAGTGTTTTAGACTAGTATTGTCATACAAAATGCTAAAAGATATAATTAATTCTTGATATATTTGAGAGGTACAGCCAACAGAATATGTTGGTTGGATTAGGTGATGGATATGAGAGAAAGAGAATTTAAAGATGACTCAAAAATTTTTTACCTGCACAATGGAAAAAAATGGAGTTGATTTTTTTTTTTTTTAAAAGAGACAGTGTCTCTCTTTGTAGATCAGGCTGGACTGCAGTGGTGTGATTATAGCTCACTATAACCTAGAACTCCTGGGCTCAAGCAATCCTTCCTTCTCAGCCTTCCTGGTAGCTAGGACCACAGGCATGCAACACCATATCCAGCTAATTTTTAAATTTTTTGTAGAGAGAGGGTCACCCTATGCTACCCAGTCTGGTCTTGAACTCCTGGGCTGAAACGATCCTCCTGCCTCAGCCTCCCAAAGTGTTGAGATTATAAGCATGAGCCACCATGCCCAGTTAGAGTTGATCTTTATGAAATTAGAAAGCCTGCTAGAGAAGTAGTTCTTGGGGGAGAATGGAGAGTCCTGTGTGGGACATGGTAAGTTTGTGATGCCTGTATTAGACATCCATGTGTCGATATCAAGAAGGCTGAACTTAGCTAACTTTAGTAAACCTTTTATATAACAGGTTTACTAAATAGGTTTATTATACTTCTCCATTCATTTTGGTCCTCAGAGCTCTATAGACTCCTACTCTGTAGGAGGAATATATGTGGGACAGTGAGCATTAGTCTCTGAAATAAAGGAACAGTAACCAGTGCAATGTGACATTGTACAATATGACACAGACCCTGTGATATGGGCTTATGTGCTTTGAGGAAAAATATCCCACATTCCATTTCATGTGGAAGACACAATCCTGGAGGGAACTCAGTCTTTTGCAGCAGAACCCGGAACAGATGTAGTCAGGGCATTCTGTATTGCAATTTTTCTTCCTTCCTCTTAAATTCCTCTGATGTTATGACCTGCCTTAGGCCACAGTGAGTTCTTCTATTTTTAAAATTGGTGGTCACCTTTTTCCCTTCACAGTGCTGTTTGTGAGACCCTTTGCCATATTCACTGTCTCTAATTGCCTCCTGGGGTCAACCTTCTGCTTTTCACTTGTATCCTCAGAGATACTTCAAACTGGCACTTCCATAGCCCTGCCAGATTGGCTACACTCACCTTGTGTGAGCCATTCAGGCAAAATTATTTTCCAGAACTTAAAACAGTGGCTAAAAAGGAAAGCCCAGGAAATAGGAAATGATCAGGTTGGCAAATATTGCCAACCTAGAAAAGCCCTATGTAGCTGTTGTCACAGACTGGCTGAGAGAGAACTTTGGATATACTTTACACTGCTAGCTGACCTATTTTTGGCTGACAGATTTTGGTTCCTCCCCTCAATCCTACTCTTTACAATGAAAATTTCCTGGCTACTAATCTGTACTCTTTCATTCATCTTAGTCCTCATATTTCTATAGACTCCTACACTGTAGGAATAGATGTAGGACAGTGAGTGTTAATCTTTAGGAAAAAGGAACAGTAACCAGTGCAGTGTCTGAAGTGCTAAATCAAATGAAGCCAAGGGGCTAAATCTCCTTGAAGCTTAAGGTCTTAGATCTTTTAGTTACTATTTTTGGTACATTAAAGAATTTGCCATCTTTCATCCATCTTATTTATTTCTGTGATCCTTGACTACTATCCAAAGCTGAACATTTATATGTCTGAAAGGTTATATAGCAGGGTAATTCCTCTGCCATGAACTCAGGTGATATTCTTAGAGCTTCTCTCCTAAGCACATAAGCCAGTAGCGGTGGGATCTGACCAGAAGACCTTGACCTAGCGATGGATAAACAAATGCACTTAGACATAGATATCCAGTGAAAGAGTGGACTAGGGATCTGGGTCAGTGACAGACTCTGACGAGGGTCCTGTAAATAGTTAGCAGCCATGGCCTTTACCAGCTGGCGCTGTGGACAAAGGCTTTGAGTCTGCATGCTTGTGGATAATTAACATGGCCACTGTCCCTGGAGAGAGCAGTCATACAAATGATTAAGGCCTCAGGTTCTGAGGCCTAAAGCAAACACCATTTATGGGTAATAACATTGTTGACCTCCATGTAGAGAGCAGTCATATGCCCTTGGATGTTCAAAGGTCAGTCTTAGGACCACATGAGTAAACAAGCTCTTTAGATAAACTCCCCTACATTCCTTTGTACTTACTCCTGCCTAATTGCTTCTGGGTAAGAACTGCTGCCTTAAGCTCATTCCTTCTTGAGGCTTTTGCAAAAGCCTTCTGGCCTTCCAAGAAGGTTTGTATCCTTTTCTCTGTAATTTTTATGTTGTTTCTCTCACTACCCTGACTGAACCCTTCCAGGTAACTGCAGTGGGAAATAGGTTCTGAGTAGGACTTGTAGATACTGAGAACAGGAACAACCTATATCATCCCTGTGCCACAGACATTCTCCAGTTTGTATCCTTTGACCTTCAAACTAAAGATGTGAAATGCAGAGAGCTGGCTCTGAAAACCACTGCAGTCTGATTTATGCCAAATTTGGAAAAACATCCCTTTAATATAAGCTCAATGGTTGCATCAACTAAAAATTCAGGTATTCTATTGTTTATGATATCTCTTTCAGTGCTGGTGCAGCCCCATGGTATGGAGTTTAATGTATTTAAAGACTACTGATAGTTATAGCACTCTTTTCCTAAGTACTAGTCTGGTGTTTCTGTCAGGCAGGTGTTAAATGATTTTGGAGGGATTAATATAGGGAATTATAAAGGATTCTATTGTTATCAGAAAGAGGTCCTGAATCAGACCCAAAAGAGGGTTCTTGGATCTTATGCAAGAAAGAATCCAAGGCGAATCCACAGAGTAATGTGAAAGCAAGTTCACGTGTATACCTATGTAATAAACATGCATGATCTGTACATGTACCCTAGAACTTAAAGTATAATAAATTAATAAAAAATTTAAAAAAAAGAAAGTGAAGGAATAAAGAATGGCTACTCCATAGGCAGAGCAGCAGCATGGGACACTCAGCTGCTTATACTCATTGTTACTTCTTGATTACATGCTAAACAAGGGGTGGATTATTCATGAGTTTCCAAGGAAAGGCGTAGGCTTTTTACAGAACTGAGGATTCTTCCCCTTTTTAGACCATATAGAGTAACGTCCTGACATTGCCATGACATTTGTAAACTGTCATGGCATTGGTGCGAGTGTCTTTGAGCATGTTAATGCATTATAATTAGTGTAAAATGAGCAGTGAGAACAACCAGCGGTCACTTTCATCACCATCTTGGTTTTGGTAGGATTTGGCTGACTTCTTTACCACAACCTGTTTTATCAGCGAGGTCTTTGTGACCTGTATCTTATGCTGACCTCCTGTCACATCCTGTGACTCAGAACGCCTAACCTCCTGGGATTGTAGCCCAGTAGGTCTCAGCCTTATTTTATCCAGCTTATTCAAGATGGAGTTGCTCTGGTTTGAATGCCTCTGACACTATCACAGAATTCAGAGCAGAGAGAAGCTTTGGTTATTAGTCAATGTACCAGCTTATATTAGAAGTTGGGAGAATCCAAAGTCACAGAGATGACATTGACCATCCCCATCCTAGACTGTACTCCATCATAGTCTTTACCTGACACCAGTCTCATTGGGGCAGAAGAAACTTTAGAGATGGAAAAGAACATGGGCCATCTCCAGAAAAAACAGGTCTGGGATGGCTTGAGGGCACAGAATATTTCCAGGATAGAGGACATATGCTGGACTGAATTATAGAGTGATGGACTAAACTGACTTTGTAGCTTGACTTCTGGTTTCAGAGTTGGAAATCTGGTTTAGAGTTGGATATTATACAGTGGTGGATTAAATTTACTCTGCAGTTTGACTTCTGGTTTCAGAGCTGGAAATTAGTGCACACTAGTGAAAGTCATGCTTTAAATACAAGCAGAAGATTATAATGCCTGCTTATTACCTTAAATTAAATTCCAAAATTTGCAGCTCTCTATTTTTTCCAAATTAAACATACTATCTCAAACAGACCTAGATATATTTGAATATTACCAACAAATATTAAGCTTAAATTGTAAGTAATTATATACCTAACATTGGAAAGTTCCATCATTCCCAGCTTGTCAGACTCCTTTATCTTGCTGATTTGTAGAGATTGCTTTAGTAGTGTTGCTGTGATTAATGAAGATTTTCTTGGTATTTAAAGATGAGAAGAGATGGGAATATGTAATTGAACTGCAAATTCTACTTTCAGCATTCTGAAATCATGGAAATTATTACTGTAGAAACTCTATAAACTTATTGGTAAACCTTTACTTTTTATTTCAGAACTGAGAAAATAATGAATATCATCTCATAAAGGTGTGTTTTTAGAAAACACAAATTGTGAAGATAATAGTTTTTAAAGTTTCTCTAATTTGTTTTGTTTGCTTTGCAGGCTATAGGTTCCAGGCTTGCTGTAATTACCCAGAATATAGCAAATCTTGGGACAGGAATAATTATATCCTTCATCTATGGCTGGCAACTAACACTGTTTCTCTTAGCAATTGTACCCATCATTGCAATAGCAGGAGTGGTTGAAATGAAAATGTTGTCTGGACATGCACTGAAAGATAAGAAAGAACTAGAAGGTGCTGGGAAGGTGAGTCAGACCGAATATGATTGATTACTCAAGTAGAGTAAAATATTCTGATCAGTGTTGTTTTGTTACTCCCTACTACCTACTATGCTCTAAGAATGTGTTTATAACCATTCCTCAAAGTGATTTTTTATGCTTATTCAGTAAATTAGAAACTTATACTAAGTAGGAAAGCCAGTTCTTGGACTCAAAGGCTGATAATTAACTTTAACATATTTTTTTCAGTTTCAGGCCGTTGTCTTCACATTGTTCTTCTTTCCTCCTCACTTTTCTCCTTCCCTTAGTTACTTTCTTCTTTCTTTTCTCTAACTTTCCCTCTCTCTCTCTCCTTCCTTCCTTCCCTCCCTCTTGCCTTTCTCCCTCCCTCCCTCCCTCTCTTCCTTTCTTCCTTCCTTCTTCCCTCCATCCCTTCCTCCCTCCTTCCCTCACTCCTTCCTTTCTTCTTTTCTGTTTTCTTTTCTTTCAATCTTAAATCCATTCTTTTATTGCAGAAAGGAAGCCCATTTTATTTGTACATGTGATGGGGGAGATTAAATATGGAAAAACCCTAGGGGTATTTATTATATCTGGTTTAAATTATTGCTACTCTTTCTTTTTGATCATGCTCTTCCCTTCATCGTATTTCTGTTATCTTTACTCTTTTTTACTTCTTTCTTTTCCTGCATGGTTATCTTTTTTTTTGTCTTCATTATTTAACAAACGCTTATGTGTCATTTACTATATTTCCTGGCAAATGTCTTACTCCTTTTAGCAACTGTATGAGATAGATTCTATTATCTCATCTTTCAGGTGGGGCTGAGGCACAGGCAGGTAATGTCTATGGACTTTAGAGCTGATAGGTCTTGGAGCCAGGATTCAAACTCAGACAATTGTGCTCCAAAGTTCTGCCTCTTTCTGTTAAAAAATGAAGAGTTCCTTTGATGGCAGAAGGCAGTCTGATATCACATGATCTGTATCATAGTGGAAATGAGAGGTCAGAATAGGGCTGACTGCCAGAACTTAACATTCAGGACAGGAATGTATGTGTGATGAACATTCTGAGGTTCCCAGGAGTTGTGGCAGGGTCTCAACAAAGGTTAAAGTGGCTCTGGTTGTCAGTAGACCCAGGTACCTCATCAAGTGAATAATGAAGAAGGCCCCAGATGTTAGTCATTACCACTAAAACTTTGTCCTTTACCTCTCTGCTGTCTCTTCAGATTCTTTATTCTGTTTTTGGTGGGGGATGTTCCTTCTGGAAAATCCTTTGGCTCAACTTTAGTGCCTCTCCAACCAGTGTCTGTAGGGGACAGACCTCATGCAAGACATCCTATCAGGCTCCCAGAGGCCCATTTCTGGAGGTAGAGCAGGCTGGTGCTGACCCACAGGGGTCTGTTGTAGTCTGGCTCAAGTAACATTGGCCCCTGCCAGGGAATACATTCTATGCCAATGACTTCCTTTAATTCCATTCTATGCCATTCTTCCATTCTATGCCAATGACTGTACTCTGGGGGTCTCCCCCACAGTGTTGACTCTTCCCCTGAGAAGATGGAAAAATCTAGCATAAAATGTAAAAAAAGAGAAAGCATTCTAGAAAATAGTGTCATTATGTAATGAGGTATTTGAAATGTCCCAGCAGGGAGTCTTAGATTGCTTTTAGGAAGAAGATGATCCAACTTGATCTAAACTAATTCATGCAATGAATTACACATTAGTGCCTTTGAAGCAATGCATAAGATTTAAGACTCTTGGAGTCCTGTCAGAGGGGTCAAAAGAAGGGGAGCAGATGGAAATAGATATGTGTGGATATGGCAGATTTTCTGAGCAAAGGTCAGGGATGTGATACATGTTCTAATGCAGGGTTGGCTCATGAGAGGGACAGAAGTAGGTAGGGAAAGTAGTAGAGCTGCACCAACCAGTCCACATAATATTGAAAATCAACTTCCACCTGATCACAATTTTCAAGCTACTGTTTAGTGCTTCTTATATAACAAGTATCATACTTACAGCTCTAAATACATGATCTCATTTAATGCTCTCAATAACCCTGTTGAATTATCCCTGTTGGACAGATAATGAAACCCGAGACTCAGAGAGATCAAGCAACTTGCCCAGTGTCACACAGCAACAACCTCCTAACAAACCTCCCTGCTTCTAACTCCTTCCATTCTTGTCCACCTATATTCTGCATTCTTAACAAGTCATTCTGATCGCTCATAAATAAAAATCTGATAATGCCAACCCTTACTTAAAATTCCCAAATGGCTTCTGATCATACTTGGAACAAAATCTAATCTTTTATCATGGCTTATCAAACACTGCATGATCTAACCCCTGAAATCCTTTACGGCCTTATCCGGCATCACAGTCTCTTAGGCCTGTGTGCTCTGGCGCAATGGGCATTCTTGCAATTCCTGGAACACTCTAAGCTGATTGCCTTTGATCTTCTCTTGGCTGACTTTATCTTATTCATATTTTAAAATTATTACCTCTTTAGAGAGGCTCTTCCTGACACCTGAATTAATTCATGATACTTCTTAGCCCTTTATGTTTCTTTCTTATTTCTTTGTTTATTGGTTAATGGTGTATCATTTGTTTGATTAATAGTGTATGTGACATTAGAGCCCACTCTTATTCTGACTATGTGATGTCAAAATCTGCTCATAACCTCTACCCTAACATTGATCTGTGCTCTGTAGTTTTTCAGCACATTATTGTGGACTGGTGAGCATTTCTATAAAATACAGGTGACCCTTGAATAGCATGGGTTTGAACTGAGTGAGTCCACTTATATGTAGGTTTTTTTCAATAAACGATTGGATAATTTTTTGAAGATTTGCAACAATTTGAAAAAACTCGCAAGCCATGTAGCCTAGAAATACCCCCCCAAAATAAGAAAAAGTATGTTATAAATGCAAAAAATATATGTAGACAGTAGTATTATCATTTACTACCATAAGGTATACACAAATCTATTATTAAAAAGTTAAAAGTGATCAAATCTTATGCATATAACCACTTACAGACCATACATGGTACCATTCACAGTCAAGACACATGCCAACAAATGTAAAGATACAGTGTGTTATGTTTTGGCTCTTGTGTCCTCATCCAGATTTCACCTTGAATTGTAATAATCCCCATGTGTCATGGAAGGGACCCAGTGAAAGGTAATTGAATCATGGGGATGGGTTTTTCCCATATTGTTTTCATGATAGTGAATATATCTCATGAGAGCTGATGGTTTTATAAAGGAGAGTTCCCCTATACATGCTTTCTTGTCTACTACCATATAAAACATCCCCCTGCTCTTCCTTCATCTTCCACCATGATTGTGAGGCCTCCCAGAGATGTGGAACTGTGAGTTCATTAAACCTCTTTCCTTTATAAATTACCCAGTCTCAGGTATGTGTTTATTAGCAGCATGGTAACAGACTAATACATAGTAGTAAATCACGAAATAAAACCATGGTATGTACTGTACTATGCCAGTAATTTTGTAGCCACCTCCTGTTGGTATTGCAGTGAGATCAAGTGTTGTATCTACTTAAAGTGCAGTGACATTAATCATCTCAGCAGGAGCAATTGGTTTCTCCAGAAAATTGCATATTGCAGTAAAAAGCAATCTCTCATGGTTCTTGCATATTTTAAAAATCATGTTTAGTGCAATACTGTAAACATTAAATAACATTAAGGAACCCGCATGAAGTGCCACTAGTGAGTGATACTGGAAGTGCTCCCAACAAGCAGAGAAAAGTCATGACGTTACAGGAAAAAGTTGAACTGTTTGATATGTACCATAGACGTGAGGTCTGCAGCTGCAGTTAGTTGCCTGCCATTTCAAGTTAAATGAATCTAGCATAAGAACCATTGTTAAAAAAAAAAATTGTAAAAGCCATCACTGCAGCTACAACAGCAGGTTTACTGTACAGAAACCTTGCACATTTTGTACAGTACCCTTATCTCACACTGACGATGCAGCTTTTACGTGGGTACCAGGTTGCTATAAGAAAGGCATACCTTTAGGCTCTAATATGATTAGAGGAAAAGCAAAGTCAACTCAAAAGTAAGATGAAGGATCTAGAACTGGATAATTTAATGCCAGCAAAGGATGGTTTGATAATTTTAGAAGAGATTTGGCTTTAAGAAATGTCAAGATAGCGGGAGAAGCAGCTTCTGCCAATGAAGAGGCAACAGAAATGTTCCTAGATGCGGGTTTTAAAAAATTATTGAAAATTATAAAATTTTAAAATTATAAAATTATAAAATTATAAAAAAATATTGAAAATTATAAAACACTGATGAATAAATGAAAATATTGACCCAAAAAAAAAAAAAAAAAAAAAATTATTGAGAGGAAATGGTATCTGCCTGAACAGTGCCCTATTTTAGAAAAAAAAATGCTACAAAGGACATTTATTAATAAGGAAGAGAATCAAGTCCAAGGATTTATGTCAGAAAGCGATAGGCTAACTCTACTGTTTTGTGTAAATGCAGTTGGGTTTATGATGAATCCGTATCTGTAGATATACCCTTATTTGTAAAGCTATTCATCACTGATCTTTGAAGGGAAAAGAGGAAAAGACAAACCTCAGCTGCAGTCTTTTGGTTGTACAAGAAGGCGTGGGACAATGAGAACCCTTTTTCTGGATTGATTACATTGATGCTTTGTCCTTTAAGTCAGAAAGTACCTAGACAGTAAGGGACTGCCTTTTAAAGTTCTTTTGATATTAGACAATGCTCCTGGCCACCCAGAACCCATGAATTTAACATTAATGCATTTAATATCAAAGGTATTGAAGTGGCCTGCTTGTCTCCCAACCATGTCTCTAATTCAGGCTTTAGATGAGGGGGTTGTAAGAACTGTTTTTTTTAAAAATAAATTTTTTTGTAGACATGAGGTCTCACTATGTTACCCAGGCTGGTCTCAAACTTCTGAGCTCAAGCAATCCTCCCGCCTTGCCCTGCCAAAGTACCCAGATTACAGGTGTGAGTCACTGTGCCTGGCCACTCATAAGGATTTTTAA